CAATGTCGTCTGGATATTACGGGTTGATAAGGTTCCCGCTCGGACAGATCGAAACGCTGGGTTTTTGAGGACCTTCCATTGTTCACCTCAGTAACCCACTAATGACGAAATTAAACAAAAATAGAAAGAGTGGACGGCATTTGTAGGACACCACTCCCTGTAAGGAAACTTTGGAGAGTTCCCCGAAAACCTTCAAGCGCCCACAAGCATGTGAATAGAAATGGAGAAATTCTGAAGCATGCTGTCTTGCACAAGCGTTTTGGAAAGGGCTAATTGGTCACCAGGATCGTAATGCGCCCATACGCCCGTCGTTGATCTTACACCTGACGGGGCGTGAATATGTGGTCCACACAGATCCTTCCTGGTCAAAATCCTGCTTTCCGTCATCGGGTCCCGTCTTCACGTGAATAGTCTGGTTAAAACTGGGTCAAGTTAATTCCTGTGTGGTTGTTTCACACTGCGAGAACCCTCTCTAAAAATCGGCACCACTGTTGACTCACCTTTATTTAGTTTGGACGATCTGTTTTGTCCAGGTAGAGGCAGATGAATTAGACAAACACCGACCGAGGGTTTCGACCTCATGTTTAAACATAACTGGTTGTACTTAGTCATGAACAGCAGCTTGGTTTCGCGTGAGTAACAAAAGGCATTTGCTTATTTCCGAAGCCGTCGCGGGTCTCAAGTTCATTGTCCAGGATTGCACTGAGTCGGAAATTTGACTGACGAACTGCAGGTGGTTAGTTAAATTGTTCTTGAAAGTGTTCAGCCCAAGGACTCAAGAGCTTTTCTATCTTGGAAATGGGTAAGGCGTTTTACCGATTATTTTTTTGGCTCACCGGAGGCATATTTGGGCCCTTTGCGCGCATCCTTTGCAGTTTTGGTGCACGCCTTGTGGTTTTTCCCTACGGACCAGTCTGCTGTTGCGATCCTTCACAGGGGCTCACAGTGCAACGTTTGGTTAGCGCTTACAGTTGACTTAGGGAAAACACGGAAGCTTTCCAGACCAGACGTACATTGTTAGAGTAACCTGTTCCTTCGACTCCATATCAGTCCACATTTATTTCTCGTGCTCTCGCGGAGAGCTTCATTTTCCGTTTTTCAGTGGGGCATGCGGTTTGTGTCCGCTACTCGAAGCGTCAACCGCCTCTAGAAATCGTCACTGTGGGACGTTTGTAGTGTATACTGAACTCTCAAACAGGCTTAAAAAACGTCCACCACGATGATCCTCCTTAGGGGTAACAACTGTGTGGGAGACCTAGTTTGTTACCCTATTGTCAACTCAAAACTGGCCCATCTCGATCCGCGTTTCCTGATCCACAGGTGAACTGACGACAGTCGAACGCACCTCTTTTCTGTCCTTGTAAAAGTGGCGCATCGTATTCCTGTCCTGTGGTTAAGCACGTGTGTGCCTGCCAATCCTTGATTTATTGTCAACTTTGCACATCCTGTTCCACTGACAACCGAGTCATACAGGCGTTAGCCTACCACCTTGTTAGTGGTTATGAACGGTAACAATTTGATTGGTGTTTACACAAAGTACTGGTCTTGCTGTAACAACTTTGGACACCGAGGGCAATGTAACGTGGTCCCATTTTGCACCCAAGAGCCGGTCAGGACAGCCTGGCGTATTGGTAAATGGCTTGGTATGTGCATTTCGGTATCACACAAAGCGTTAAATTGAAAAAGATAGACACATTCACCCCATGGATTGGTGCACTGCGAATGCGGTAGCACAAGACTGAGCTTCTCACACTTTCCGTTCCAGTCGGCCTTAGTTCTCGGGTGAGTGAGTTTTCCCTTGGTCTTATGGTTCCACCATTGAAATCATGTGTTCTGCTTTCAACGATCCTATAAAACACCGCAAAGTATGATTCTGTTTCCAGCATGTGGATAAATTTAGGTACCCACCTGGAATATGTAGTTGTATATTAGCAATTATCACTAAGAGAGGAATCTGCTTGTTGACTCCTGAATCTGTTTTCTCCAACCAATCCGAGCTCTTATGATATGGAGTTCCTCGAAGCAACAGATACATTCGACACTTTACTCTTAGAATTCAAATCCGATAGTGTTTTTATATCATATATTTTGGTTCTACCAGTGCCTTTTCGAGAGTTTTACGATAGCAAAGCATACTGCTCCTGTCCAGCGATTCCTCCCATAAAGATTTCTCTAACATGGTGTTTTGATTTGGACAACGCCGGCAAATGTCAGGCAATTTGTCCCTATGATACGACCAAATTCCTCTACTTTCCAGGGAGGACATCATGGCAGTTGTTAGGATAATCAATCTCCTAAACTACCTATCTACCACAGTTACAACAGTACTGGACGCTGGTCTCCAACAGCTTAATGTTTGGGATATGGTTTTTACAATTAATCAGTATACTTACCGCAGTATTCGTCATCAACTTGTTTCCGGAAACGTTTCACGCACTTCCCTCTCACAATAGCCGTACTTGTTCATTTTCCGCTTTCTCAGGCGGTTCGTCGGCGTCTTCGTCACAATCTGTCTGACCGGGCTAATGAAGCGCGACAGCGTATCATACGTCGACTGTTGAAGCGTGTGGCTCAGTCCGCGGTTTACGGTTCTATTAGTTCTCCAGAAAAATCGAACAAAACGGGTAATCTTTGTGTTTTCTTGACTAATTGGACACTACAATCATTCATTTCCAGTTCACAATTCTTACTGTTTCGTGAAAAATAGCCGTTGTTCATCCGTTCTCAATTTTTTTCTCAATTGCACTTAAAAAGCCGAAATGACAGGTCACGTATGTTGCCGTATAGCAAAAACGGTCGGAGAAAAGACTGTGGAGTGGTCACAAAAATAGGATGTGAGCGTGATTTGATCAACGTGACTGCATCAATCAAATGCAGAGTATCTTCTGCAATGTTCTCTGGTCACTTATGGAGTTTGTTGGCGGCTGGACAAGCCGTTGGTTACAACCTGTGCGATTGCTGGAGTGGCCTGGCAGTATTTCAGACATGGTGCTCATTTGGTCTCACTAAGCACTTATGCTTCGCAGCGACGTGGACGACCAATACGGCTTTCTGAAAAATTCGGACCATTTTCGAAGCCAATTGACACAATGGCTATAACTAAACGACTGGAACTTCCAAGGTCAAAGCAGATTAGATCAATACCAACGGGGCGCATAGATAGTTTATTTCGGGATTTTTATTAGTAAACCTCGTTGACTGCAGCCATTTTGAGGGTGATGTTCCTCGCGATACGTGGTCAAGGGGACCTATTTACATGACCGAGTGGTGGAGAAACTACCGCGGTTTTGGAGTGCCACTCACGTCGAGCCGTCTTCTGACATCTGATATCTTACTGATGATAAACCAGTTATACATACCAATATGTATACTAACTGTATATTACTCATTTCACTGCAGTTGTGGCTATTATTTTACAATTCTTCGCTTTCTTACGATCAGAACCCCGGAGAAAGTACCGATTAGCAGGGTAGGATGGTACCAAATGGAGACCCGACTGAACCATCTTATTTTAGTTTCGGTAATCAACCAGGTAACTCGTTGGGTACCAACTATTCTCATCCGGCCGGTCTAACCGGCCGAGCACTTCTCTTCAACTGAGAAAGACGCTCAGACAACAAACTGGGCCGATTCCGAAAGCAAGGGGGCAACTCACACTGAGTATTCGCATATTAGCTGAACTGTGTAAGCTGCTGGATAATGTTCGGTTCTGCTGAAAAAAAGAAACATCGTTGGTGCTGCTCCTAGTCGTTCAGCTGTAACACTCTTCCGGTGCCTAACTGCCATGGCACCAGAAGGAAGCACGAGCGTTGGGATACTGCCAGATCGCCCAAACCTAGCCAGTTGAAATCGAGGGGCAGAGGTCGGGTTCGAACCACGGATCTTCCAGTCAGTAAATTCACGCTCTAGCCACTTAAGCCATCTCGACCCACCCACCCGGTGTGATACATTCTATACATTGTACTCCTGCTATGTTCTTGTGTGCCGTTTCGAGCGGTGCGCCATCTGCAGTTCGATTAATTCAGTCTCGTGGTAAATTGATTTTGTTTAGCACTTGTGCCCACGGAACGCGACCTTTTAAATCCCGGCGGAGGTTGGAACATGGACATCCAATTATTTCTGGCAATCGGTGCGGCGGTTTATCGTATATCGCTGTCAGTTCTGCCGATGAACTCCATTTAACAACCGAAGGCGATCAAAGACAGGGCTGTATCGGTGATCGTTAAGCTGGAAAAAATCGGCCATCGACCTGAAACATTTGCGGAACTGATTATACGTTATGTACTAAATTCAAACTACCAAATCAAAACCAATTTACATTCCTTGTCAACAGATGCGTATGTTGCCAATCTGTGACTTTCATTCTTAGCCATCATGCCATTTTTGCTCACCCGTCCACTATGCATGGAAGGGTTACCCCAGCTAGACTATTTTTTTCCGTATACTATCTATATAAAAGGCATCATTCAATTACCAACTGCTTTTCCGTCCACGATATGCGTGCAGCCGAGGTGGAGTTATTACAGCGTCTGGGACATCATCCAGAAGCACAACAAGCCAAGGAAGATGAGGCACTATTCGGCGTCCCAAACGAGCCATCCAGGTTAGTGAGGCGCATTTCTTTTTCAGAATTGTTCTGTGTTATCGGGTTAACAACAGCTAACGGATAGGAGCATTTGTCTGAGGGGGCTACGGTTAAAGAGGATTTTGACCTCTCTTTGAGGCCTCGCTCTGGAAGGAAGAGTTCCACATCAGATCGCATTCGGGATAGCCTAGGAGAATCTCTCGAGGAATTGCTTAGTATGATTTTGAGTGACTGTGTATGCTATGAGTCTGCACTTACCTTCTGTCACTGATGGGAGGAGGGTAAAAATACTATCCTCTAACGATTAGTGCGCAATCGGAGTATTTTCAACAATCTTACAACTAGTGCGTTATGTCATGAAAATATACTGGGATATCCCGAATATCGTGTCAGCTAAAACGTTATTTGGCCTTCGTTGAAATGTACCCCAAAACAGGGAATCCAGCTGAGTTTCCCATTAATACAATAGTAATTATCAAGCGAGTGTTCTTCGCAACTATCGGCTTCTTCATGCCAAATATTAGCTAACAGTAATTAATAGTAGGTTGGTGTGCCGTTCTTTTTAGCATCTTAAATCAAAATTGAAGATCAAATTAACTTTTCAAGACACTTTCTTAGAATAAGGTTGGCCGCGTCACTTAGCATGATGTGACCCGTTTGTCAATCGTTTGGGACTACGGTGACCCAGCCTTCTTCAGCGCAGTAGACAGGGGCGATCACCGCAGGTTGCAATGTTTTTAAATTGCAGTATGGTAAACCTTAGTCGTTTGTCTCAGATATCGTTATGTCGTTCCCTGGCTCTTGGAAGTGTCGGTCTTAGATCAGTACGGTTCCGCTCAGCCCATTTTGTGGACATTTCATTCACTTTTGTTGCTATACCTAAGCAAATTCTACCAGATACGCTTCAGTCCATCAATTGTCCCTTTTCACTCCTTGCTTACCATACCGATTGCTTCTATTTCTCCGTAAAATGCACAAAACTATACAAGGATCTACCTTCCAGCACCTGTACGACACTGATGTCCTCGCTGTATATAGCATTTGCTTTTCGCTCGCCGTTCTACTGATTCTCCGGTGCTAGGTTAGCAAATCTTGTCAACAGTTATTTGGAATCACAGGTGGGGGTCGGGTGTTAGGTGGAGACCAACTATGGTTTGGCTACTCCATAAAGGCACAACGAGGTCATCCGTCAGAGGTGCTACCGCTGTTATTTGCGTCCTAGTTTTTGAGCCTATCAAGTATTTTTTTTACACTCATCGAGTTAAGCTAGGAATCTTTGGCGGCCGGGCCTTTCTTATTCTTATGTTTTTCTAACCCTCCTCTCAGCGACCAGCTGGATGCTCAAGGATTACTTCATGAACGTGCCGGATTGGAGTACGATGAGCTTGCACGAGACTATTTGGTAGGTTTATTGGGCATAATTGTTGCTAGTTTTATAGCCTTTTCGTCGTTTTTGGACGAGACAACCGTGATTCTCTTGTTCGGGATTGATAGGCTGGAAGCGCTTCTGACCCTGTGAGTGAGATGAAAGCATCTGGTTATGCAGTGGTGTAGTATGGCACACTCTCTCGACTGTCGTCGGCGCTCAGTTTGTCTCTCAGATCACAAACACTTGAAAACAGCTTGGCCTCACATTCCTTGTACACTTGACATGCTCTTTGTAGCGTGAAATTGGTGTAGTGCACGCATGGCCTGTGTACAGTGATTCTCTCCTAAAGTAACCTGGACAAGCGTCCCATTGGGACCGTCAGTGACGAGGAATGTCGTGTGAATTCTCCAGACGAGTGACAAATCTCAAGAAGCACTAATTGTACGGTGAAGTGTGTATGAAGAATGTTAGTTATTGGTTTGGCGATATTATTGGACGTGAAATAGTACGAAGGATAATTCGGGTTTGGTCTGACTTTCCGAACGTTACACGCTACTTGTAAGGTCGCTGTAAACTCGACAGCTCGCTGTCGGATAGTCTGGTGAGTTCAGTTGAGCCTCCCGTCGAAACCGAATCGGTGTGCAAGTGAGGCTATTTGTCGCAGTTTTTGACTTATTTTGATAGTCATCTGATTTCTGCAGGGTCATCGATCGTCACGGGGACAAGTGCCAATCCATGAGCTTGGTTTGAAACGAATGTTGAAGGCAGAGCTGTATTCGGAGCCAGAAAAGCTTCAGTTATGCGAACATTTTCACCCATCAGATGGGTGTGGGTTGCTGTCAAGAAATTTAAGGTACTTCTGACATAGGCTCCTTTATTGATTACTTTCGTTGTTTATGAAGTGATAGGCTGTTACGATGCTGAAAAACATGTAAAAAAGAAGTGAATGCGGGCAGCCATAAACCTAGGTGATACCATAACCGAAGCAAATAAATGGTGCTTGCTTTTGTTTGACCTCCCCAGGACGGCGTCAAATTGCACGTGAATTCTGACCAACTTGATTTGCATTCACCATCGTTTTGTGCACTTCCTCTGCAAGCGCAACTACGTGTCGTCCAACTGGCCCGTGAACAGCTTGATTCTCAGTTCCGTTCAGGTCTAACACAGGACAACCAACAGGTGAGTGTTTGTGCTAACAGGGGTCCGGCCAGTTGTTCTGGCAAACTCGGTATAATTTCGCGATAGTGGTTTATATAAGGACCAGTTCGCGCTTGAAGCAGGATAACTTTTTACGGTTGTGCTAGTCACTCGTGAACTCGCGATCTTTCCTAATTATTGGCTTTCTCAAAATCTTTCTTAACTTGTCTATATACAGTTGGCGAATTGGTCATGGACAATGTTGAAGACATCTTTTGATGATAGGGTGTGTGCATTGTGGGACGACTGAGTGAATGTCATTGCACTAAAATTCACTTCTTGTGGGCTGTGCGGTCGTCTGCTTTGAGCAGAGAATGCACACTTGTACGTCAGTCATATTTCGATATTTTCCGACGGTCTCAGTGAATAACGAGGGTGAATTGGCACTTTGCCTTCAGACATCAGCTGTGGACTATTTTTGGTGGCCATAGCTGACAGACGTGTCCACTAGCTATTGTGTTTCCGAAATCTGACGAGCATAATTTTCATGTGCTGACAACGCGCAAGACCATTGAAGAGCTGTAGCTGACGGGAGCATCGGCCCGTGGAACTGATTTAACCGAACTGTATTGAATGTGTAAATAATATTGCTGAATAACTCTGAATCCTAACTGACTCCCAACTAAACTGACATATGTCAGGTCAAGTAACGAGGCGTTCTGGGATGTCAACTTCTCACAAATTGGGTCAAGTCTCGTGTTGTTCGCGCGATGCATCGTTTTGTGGATCTTGCTATTCGATGTCAAGTTATCCAGATGCTTATTTGATATTTACAGATACGGTGGATTCGCTAATGGGCACTAGTTTTTGATTTGATGTAAGCATGGCATGAGTTTGCCAGAATGTTTCCAAAAGACGATTTCTCAGTCCAAGTGCATGAATTTCATGCTCCACCAAGATTTTTGAGAAAAAATTGCACGAATATCAAGTCTTCGGTATTGATGAACAACATACCAACAACTGTAGTAAAATAGATTTTTTCTGAAAACTATTAATGCACAGGTGATGTTAGCCATAATACAAATCAGAAGGTGTTGCACTAATAATAAAAGTTTTTAACTGTGATTGACAGTTGCTTACAGGAGCGATTTGTAGCATGTATAAAATAAACAGCAATATAGAATGTGGAGCAAGCCAACAGGGAACTTATCGTATGTGAGAGTCCCTTGGTAAAAGTCCGGACAGCGGGAACGTGTTTCCTCCATAATTGTCCGTGGACTTGGAGTGTTTGGCTGACTCCTTGCTCCCTGCGCGCGCGCGCGCGCGAGTCTCTGTGTGCTAACTGTGTTCGGTTTCCCTATATGTAGGTCCGTTTGCGCGTACGTGGGCGCGTCAGCACGTGAGTGGTTGGTACGCTCACTAGACGATGCAGGCAATAGACGTCTGATGGGTCACGTTAATGTGACGTGGTTGTGAGTATGAAAAAGAAACAAGTCTCGTGATACAGTGAGCAACTTTGGGCTGAACAATCAAGTGTGTGTGTGTGTGACGGGGTCGCTATAGAACCAGATTTTTCCAAGTTTTTTTTCGGAACACCTCGCAGACGAAGTCTATTTCGCTCGGACCCATGAAGTAGCTTCTCCTGAGGAGGAGAGGACAGCTCTAACTAGAATCGAAGTTTTAATTCCTACAGGTTTGATGAACATCACCTGCATCAGTACATAAATAGAACAAGTGAAACCTAGTGAAGGTATTCTAGACAGCGTTGAGCACGTGCCTTCTAGCAGATACAGTAGACACCGACAGCTTTCAAGTTCAGTTCACTGGCTTTTCCTCCTACCTGATGATTCGCGGGCTAGATGTGTATATTCGAAGCAAAAACTCGCAAGAATGTCAAAATTTAGTATATTCCCGCATGTTCAAGCTGGAGTGAGACGAGGCGTTACTGAATACTCATTGTATATATCGTGATCAACTCACAGTTCAAGGTCATTTGTTATGGATTTTTGAAGTCATCCCCGTTTCGCTCTTTGCTGTCGCGCAGTCCCAGTGCACTGAAATGTTCTCTCTGAATCAAGTGAATCGCCTTCTACTTCGACGCCGTCTGGCTGAACGTCAAGAAGAGTTGTCGCTGCAACTGTCCAGGGAAGAAGCAGTGAAACAAGTCACCATGTTCAATAACTCCACTTTCATGGAGACTTTGCGGTCTCGTTTGGAACATTTTCGATCCGGAGGTGTGGAAGACTCGACGGTGGCTTTGAAAATCCAGTCCCGCGACACGGGTCACGCGATCCTGATAAAAAACTCGCCAGTTAAGTCAAAACGAGTCGCGAGTTTTTCGGATTCCGCTTTTTCTCTGGAGAGGTATGTTGTGGCACCTGCAATTCAATGTCAAATGTTTCCCGTGGAAGACCACCCTCTTAGGGAAAGTAAATAACTTCCTTATCATGGTGTTTTCTCTCCGGAGGTTCTTTCTCGTTGATGTCGTACATGAGAAACTCTACAGTCCTTTTTCATACACGACTTCTGTCAAAATACAACATTCTATTTGGACTAAAATGTTCGATGCGTCTTGCCTCTTCCTTGTTGTGCAAAACATTTGTGTTCGCCGATTGTTGGATGTTTCAAGTTGTCTCCGCTGCGTGAAAGCTCTTGTTTCCATTCCCAGCTTTTACGTCTTGACAACATGGTTTTTCTGGTTGTATTGTACGGTAGAAATTGTTGAAACCCTAGGGGTTGGCATTTCGGGAACATCACAGTGTGAAGCTGACTGAACTCAGTTCATTCTTCTGGTCCATTTCGTGCTTTTTGTCACATCAAGAATTCTATTAAGAAAGGAGAAGCAGCATCCCCTTAGAGTAATGTGAAATCAGGTGATTTGGCTGTCTCCATGCATCCATGTTCAAAGTTAGATGGATTATGTTGATTGTTCTCTTTGGTGTGCTCGCTGTAGCAGATACGTATACTGGACTGAAGGAAGGCCGTCTATAACGATTTCCGAACTCAGTACCACAGGTTTTGTATTAAGTCGAGCTAAAGTACGAACTAGCTCGACTGCATGCCACAGAATGGACTGTAGTCTGTGCGCAGAACTGAACACCCCACGTATTCTCCGTCAGTTGCAAGTCACTGAACTTGAAGCCGTTGAACAGATCCAGCCGAATGTCAATGGGTGGTCACTTCAGGACTGACTTCATAAGACGGGCTATTGGTTGACTGTCTTTTATAGTTTGTCTGAACTCGCCCAGTTTACGTCCCAAAATATTTCCTTGTCTGCTCAACGTAGGACTTGAGTGTGTATGGTTAGCTGAATCAGAGCAGACCTCGATCTTCCAACGGCACTGTCAGTTTTGGGCCGATATGGTCGTTGGTGCGGCCAATTCGATTTAGCAGTAAGCTCCTTCCATAGCCTCTTCAGTAATTTTTACTATCGGGATCCTGAATTTTATGAAATATGACCCCGGTCTAGGTCTCGTTGTAAAACTCATCCAATATGTTTGTCACTGTTCCGTTTCGGAGATGGAATGAACTCTTTCGAGCAACCTGGCATAATTAGATCCTAAACTTCCAAGGCCAACGATGACTTCACCCGGCTTTCTCTTTCTGTGAAAAGTTGGTTAGTTTCAATGACATTTTACCCATCTGTTAACAATTGAATAAACGAATTTGTATCGTACTAGAACCATGCTAGTTGGATTCGAGCAATAGACAGTCATAATCCTCCTCGGCTCCGCTACGGAATGCCATGAGTTAGAACTGCAGCTTTCAGGTATGCTTGCTAAGCAGTGAATAAGTTCATTAAAAATTTACGGCTCAAACCAAGCATGGTTTTTGGACCAACAGCTTCTCTCAGTGTTACAGAATTGAGTGAGTCCACGTGACCGTCGCTGTGCTTGGCTGGAAACACTGAATGATATGGCAGTTAATCGCTGTTAGTGGCCTGTCGGTTTGTATCCAGGTTGTCTGACTGAGTATTAAGTGCTTTTGGTTGGCTATCTCTAAGCTCCCCTCTGTGCCCCATTTCCTCCTTTCCATTATGAGGCTTTATTGAAATAAATTGACATGGTTGTATGGCGGTGAAGCACTGGTGTTCTCATCTAAATGTTCGTTGTGACTTAATGAACAACTGTACAACTGTGCGTCGGTCCTTGACTTCCTGCTCCGCCCACTATGGTGTACCAAAAGACACGGTAGCTTCAGGCAGCCTCTTATGGAGACAAAGGAAGATTATTACAACTGTATTTATAGGTTAATCATAGAATGTTCTTCAAGGTCCTGCTAGAATCTCCTTGAGGGGGCGAGAACCATCGAGCTAAAGATGCTCGACCCAGATTGGCTGGCATTCTGATCAATCAGAGCACGTCTTCGTTTGATCCGTTGCCCGCACGTGACGCTTCCGTCCGTTTGACGCGCTATTCGCTTATTAGGGGTTGCTGACCTCCGATCAGCGTTGCTGTGAATAATGACAATAGTGGTAATAATACTGATGATGCACAGAATTGGGTAGAATCTTCGGAACTCATTTATGTAGGAGAAGTCGCTTGTTATATCACTCATTTTAGGTGGCAGGAAAGTGTATGTCGAAGCTCAAGCCTATTAATTTCTTTTGGGACTTACTCTTCTCAGCTATTCACCTGATCATCCATTCGTAGACTCAATAGCTGTACACACTCGAGTGTTTCGTAAGGAATCTCAATAGGAAAAACTAATCGCGACCAAAGGTCATCCCCTGCTAGCAGCACGTATATTAACACACGCACAACACTACCCAACGCACAACCACCAACCCACCGCTACACACTACTACGCTCCACAATAACGCACTGATGATGTCACCTCGATTGGTGATGAAACGTTTGCAATCAAATTGCCCAGCTCAGCGAACAAGCCAACGACCAGGAAAACAGTCTTTCTAACGCCACCGTCGGAATGTACCCGTCGAATTGATGAGTGACGTTAGAAAGATGGATTTCATAGTTCCCTGATATGGTTGGCTTTATTATTCACAAGTAGGCTTTATGTGGCCTGTGGCCGAGCGTAGTTCAATTGGCTCCTTCATCTCGAATGCGGCGTGGTTGTATAATCACATCCACTCATGTAGAACAAAGTTCCTGACGGATACTTTCCAAGGTAGCTTCTGCAACCTATCTCTAAAGGAAGGAATGGATAGATGGGTCAATAAGATCTTGAGCGTCCGTAATTGCTGAGTACTGTCCACAAATTTTACCTGCCGTCCTATTCAACGAATTCAACTCAGTGCGTCATTACTCAGCCAGTTACTGTCAATCCTCCGTGGTCCATTTGCGTGTTTTATCTTGACAAGATCTAATTAATCTCTATAAAACACGGATTGTAGTCAGGTCTGCTCTAGACAATTCGGTAGTCGATGGATCTCCGCTAGTTCCACAGATTTTGACTTCTCCGGGGAATATTAAGGCTGTTGAGAAGGTTCTTTGGATCGATTTGCCTTCCAGGAAGTGGCTCCAGGCTCCTCACTGACGGCCTGAATGCTCCCATATGTAGCCACCTGAGTACTGTTGAGACAGAGCAGCAGGAAATACTTCGCTTCTGTGTGTTCTTTCCTTGTCCGTTGCTTCTAACCTACACTCTTGTGGTTCGGGGCGAGATGTCTCAAGTGGTTAGAGCGCGAATTTACTGACTGGAAGGTCCGTGGTTAGAACCCGACCTCTGCCTCTCGACTCACCCTGTCTAGGCTTGGACGACCCGGCAGTATCCCAGCCCTCTTGCAACCTTCGGGTGGCATGGCAGTTAGGCACCGAAAGGTTGCTACAGCTGAGCAATTTCAATTTTTCAAATTTCTTGTGGTTCGATAAGGAGGCTCTGTGGCTCACCACCGTTTTTTTTTATCGCGAATGACTAAATTGACCATAATGGCCATGTTAATTATGCTATGATTGAGCTTTATGGGTTACAAGTTATCTTTGGTGGACGTCGAGGCTATCATTCAACTCCCCAAATATGATTAGCCGGTAAAAATACACTATTGGGATTAGAAGCCAAATGAACCTCAGTGATTAGTTCTTTTAGGTTTTTTTTTTATTTCTGTCGTCTACTGTTGCCTTGGATTCTAAATGAGACCTAATTACCCAGGTCACATTCCACACCTTGCACCTCACACCATCCTAGTCCACTGACACTTGCTCAGGATACACGGGTACTCAGTGGTTGGCCATTGCCGCTCAGTATAGATGTTGGAGGCGATGCGAAACCTGTGGTGATAGCAGCATGTCAAGGGATAGATAACATGATCAGTTCATGCTGTCCGAATCCGGCCAATCGTCGCACAGTGTGCAGCGGGGAGGTAAACACAGGCCAAGGTCACCCTGTCAGTGCGCTCCGTTTGTTCTAGTTTGAAGTGCGGTTTAACAGTCGCAGCATATCAGCAAACAACGACCGGCGGACGGAAGCAACTGAAGAACCACTCAGCTGCTGGGCCAGTCATGGTCGAGCGAATTCACACAACTATTTCAGGTTTCGGGACGGCGTCCAGCATGATTGGATGTGCACTAATAAAAACTCAGTAATTTTGCGCACGAGAATCGAATCGAGGCATTTTCCCTGATTAATATCCCTGGGTCGTAACACTCTGGACTGGTGGATCATCAGATCGGTAATATCCAGCCAGGTGGGATAGTTGTCGAAGAACATCCCCCCTTAACACGAGCTATTCGTAATCGATTGGTTACACCGGCAAGTATATGTACTTCGTATAGGATCCATTGCCTCGCGAGATTCTCCCCGGTTAGTCATGTGACGGCTGGAAACATAGGAGTATGAGGTCCACGACCTGGATGGAGACCTGAAAACGCGACACATCGATGGCTACTGATGCTGACACGTCGCTCAATCACACACCCAATGGCGTTGATGCAATAATGCAGTTGCCTTCAATACCGACCGGATTCAGTTTCCCCTCATGAGAGACGTTAGAAAGACCAGACATCCATAAATTCGTTAGGCCTCTTCTTGTATCCTCGATTAGCAAAGTCATATCAGTTGAAACCAACATACCCCGAGGTGTGGTTTGTAGGTGTCAAAATGAGTTGAACGGAACTTAGAACTCCTCTGATATATCACGATTTAGGGTCTGTAGCACCGGATTCTTTCATATACTTCTAATTCATCGCCGTTTTTATATTGCTGTCTATCAGTGCTACTTACTCCAGCGTGAGGACCACTCAGAACGTTTGGCACAGTTCTTCAGCTTCCGATATGTTGCACTTCGCTTTCGTTGACCCTAGCTCAGCTGGACTGAGGGAACTGATCTTTTCGATACGCGTATATGTGTATGTCTGATGGCGGTCTGCCACTGGTTATCAGCATATTACAAAAAATTTGCCAACTGCTTGCCTGGGACATTTGCGCTATGCATGTGTGTGCCTTTTCTTAGAGTTACGATACATTCTGCAGTTAGGCCAGTCATGAATACAAATCTACAAAACGATTTTGTTGCTGAGTTTCTGTTCATAATTTTGATGATCATCTAATTATGCTAGATTGACAGACAGTTTTCGTGACTGGCTCAGGCTTTTAAATATTTCAATGTTGGGCTGGTCGATTTCTCCTCTGTTATATTTCTATCTTTGTAAAAACGTTTGTCTGTCGAACACCTATTCTTAGCACTACACTCCTTACTTTTCATGTCAGCCTCATAGTTCGCTCAGCAACGCCATCAGAAGAGGTAGAGTCATCCGCCAACCACGAAGCTGAAAATTCTGCAAAGAATCACATTACATCGCCTATAACTACCTTAAACGAGCTTGACTTATCGACCTCCGAAACTTCACTTATCCGACACGAGGGAAAACTTACGAAACATGTGGATTACGAACATGTGGATTTCACTGACCCGAACGACCTTCATACCAAGTCACCGTTGCCTTCTGATCTACCGAAGCCCGTGGATATTTCGCCAGGGAGTGTGATTTCATGCTCAACATCCTCATCTTCAAGTTCCATTGAGGACAACTTTAAACAGGTGGCTGAATTCCCCTTAAATGTATTCACACCTGCGGTGTCGATTGAAAGAGTACCGGAGATGGCTGATGATTTCGCGGTCTCAAGACATTGTACTACATCCAACGCCCCTTGTGATACGTTTGAAAACATTCTAGAGGTTCAGAATAGTCTTCAGGAGGATGAAGATGATGACGAGTTCGTGGAAGTCACCGAATCAAACGACGTAGACGAGGCTTCCACCCAAATCCTAACTTTTAATAGTCAGTCACCGAGCAGCGTTGTGGAGGACGAGGACGATGAGTTGGAGGACACGGATGAAACTCCCCAGCCGTCGCACCCAACGGAGAATCAGCACTCGGTGTTTTACGACAAATGGACCGAAGATGAAGATGCAGTCCTTCTGGATGATGATGTTTTGCGAGATCAGGCTGATCGGCTTACTCGGCAGGCACAAACCACCACTCAACGCTGCGTCGAGGAAGCGCAGGTGAGTCTTCATCTCTGATTTGTACGATCGCCCTAATTTCAGCGATCGATAGATGACTTGACCATTTGTGTCTTTCGTCTGGCCGCTTGCGAACTCAGTTCCACTCTTACTGGGATAAAGACACTATAATATCGGTACGCTTTGCGGTTGCTGGAAAGTATTGATTTCTGAGTCATTGTTCGAGCCCTAATTACCACATCTGAGTACCAACAGGGAGTGCTGTCAACAGATGAGAGACTGATTGGTGGTTAGTTAAGAGCCTTTTGGATATCGAAATTGATGTCTGTCGTCTTGATGTTCGAGCCCTAATTACCACATCTGAGTACCAACAGGGAGTGCTGTCAACAGATGAGAGACTGATTGGTGGTTAGTTAAGAGCCTTTTGGATATCGAAATTGATGTCTGTCGTCTTGAATGATGCGTACGGTTTATCAGTTTTTTTTCAAATGCACGGCCATTAATTACTTGCTCGTCCTGGAAAGTCGTGCGGCTATTTTTCAGCCATTCGCTCATACTTTAGCACACCATATCCTTGTACCCCACAGAACCTGCTCCAGCTTTTCGGGATGCCATTCGTAGTAAGTCCGGAAGAAGCGGAAGCTCAATGTGTCGCTCTACAACAATCCGGACTCGTCGACCTTGTTGCCAGCGACGACTCAGACGTCTGGCCCTTCGGTGCACGCCTTGTCTGCCGTCATTTGTTTGCTGGTGGCGCTGTCGACACCAAACCGAAGACAACCAGAAAAGCACCGCGGGCGCCTTCACAATACACCTTGGATGACGTCCAACGAACCGTGGGTATGTTGAATTAGATTTTTAGCTCTTTGAACTAATCCCACATTCATACTGGTGTCTTGGCAACCGATTTCATCCAAAGGCAACTTTATCCTGCCGGTTCTGAACATTCTTTGTAGCACTTTCAATCCCATCATTTTCCGACAGGACTCAATACGGTGAACATTTTACGCTTGGCCCTACTCTGTGGTAGCGATTACACACCGGGTGTGCATAATGTTGGTCCCGTGACTGCAGTTGAAATTCTTAATGAATTCGGCGAAATCAACCAAAATGCGGGTAACGTCGCATGCACTACGTTGATTGGAGGAACTGAAACCGCCGACCTCGCCGCCAGAGTAGTTGAGCCGTTGGAACGATTTACGTGAGTACCGCTTCTTACGCTGCTTTTTTTTGTACCCTAGCACTAATGATCTATGTGCTGTTGTGACATTAGTGACCCAGGTGGGTTCATTAGGTGTTGACCAGGACATTTGTTTCAAGCTTTTCCTCGCAATTGTAGGAGATACGCTGTTTTTTGAGCGTTTTCTTCTTTCATGCTTGCGTTTGTATGGTTCAGCTGAGGGTATGTAGTACTTCCATCGCGAGTGACCGACGGAAATCGCGGTTGTTTTCTTGCTCACTGGTCCGCTATTGATCTGAGATTTTCCCATGCTTCGTTGGCCCTTGGAATTCCCTCATTTTCGGTGCTTTCTACGACTTTGTTTGATTTGAGTTTGGAACTGTAGGGTCTAACGGTTCGACGCCAACTTTTGTTTAGCAGGATACAAATTCTCATGTGTGTTTGAAACAGGTGCTGACAACGCGTCCATTACGTATACCGAATCAGTGAGATGAAATTTCCAATCTATCTGATTTCCAAAGGATGAACTTCACGCACCTGCTTCTGGCAGGGACGCAAGTTGAAGGTAAAATGTCCGGTCAGATGGTGATTAGAACGCACTCATTTATACACTAAAATAGTATGTTGGATTGAGGATGAACTTCGAATAAAGCGAAGCCGGTAGTAAGCTGCTGGTGGACTTAGATCATTTTCGTCATTCCGCCTTCTTGTCGACAAAAATACTGACTCGTTCCACAGAAAACTACTGTTTATTGGCTGTTTCAGTTGTGTCTAGAGCTCACATAGACTCGTGCTCATTAATTCTAGTGCGTTGTTTCCTTCACGGTTACCTTTGGACGTTTAACTGGAGCTATGGGGTGGTTATATTGTTGTATGTTTGTGAGACGTGGCCTCTGCGAACAGATGATATGAGGCGTCTTCAAGTCAGCAGCGTTGCTGGTTTTGGGTGGCGTCAGCAGATTAGGAATGAAGTCATTGGAAAACGGGTATTTGATTGTACATCAGCTACTGGAATCGCGGAAAACATCCAGCTCCATCAACCGCGGTGGCTCGGTCATGTACTAGACATGCCGAAACATTGTCTACCGTGACGAGTGTTGTTCTCCGTGCCTTCTTCAGAATGGTGCAAACCGCGGGGTGGACAACTTATGACTTGGCAGAAGGGTGTGAAAGAGATTATGAAGAGTTTGGATGTTGTTGGATGGGGTCCCCGTGACCATGCTTGCGCTTGGCTGAAGACATTGGAAGAAATGGTGGCCGATCGATATCACCAGCATTCATGCTGTCAGTTTGCTTCCAGATTGTCTGATTGAGCACTTGGAGGTGTAGACATCCCGAAATGCCTGACATAGGCCAGCACCCTCTCACCCACTCTTTTTCTCTTCTTTTCACTCAGGCTTAAGTATGATCAGATGAACTTCATGGTTGTACGGCAGTGGGGCGTCAGTGTCAACACTGATGTTGCCGCCTCTGATGATGATAATAAAGTGATAATAGAGTGGTTAGGGTGTTTGGCTGTGGAGCAGTGTTTTGATGATGACACAATGTGTCTAGATCACTTGGGGCCTTCCATCAAGTCACATCATCAAAGTCACTCTCTTGCAGTGTCTCTTCGTGTTTTGCTTATCAGCCTAATTTTCTTTTCAGTGCCTGGTATCGTGCTGCTTCGAAAGTCGCTGCTGAGGGCGATGCAAAGTCACTGCTTACAAGCCAGGTTCGCAAGAAGTGGTTGAAGTTCTGTCCACCTGAAGGTTAGTTGTGATGGCGCGAAAAAGGTATTCGAGGATCTCTTTATAAGCCCGGTCATCAGTAATCTTGCTTTCTTGATTATTTCTGACTCCAGGTTTTCCGGATCCGCGGATTGTGGAGGCCTATCTGCGTCCGAATGTCCTTCGTAAGCCCGAAACCCCGTCATGGGGTGAACCAAATGTGGAATCTTTGGTCAAATATCCTTTTCGTTACCCTAACTTTCCATTCCATGTCATGGTGGAGTTGAATGTTTTGCTAGCACCACCGTATACACTAACTCTCGCCCCCGTAGTCCACGTAGAAAGTTCAGCATAGCGTGTAGCTTCAGCTACAAAGTTGTGTGAGATCCTGGGGGGGGGTTGGAAGATATCCAACTACAAGACCAAACAACCCTTATCCACGTAGGAGGGTTGATTATTGTTTTCTTGGGATTACCGAACACAGTAATATAATTAATCACTCCAATGTGGCACCTTTTCGGCGCGTAGCTGGTGTACCACCCGGAAGGGGCATGTGGATTTATACACTACCGGTGTACCAAACCCTGGATAGGAGGAATAAGAAAGACAGGATGGAGTTCGAACCATGAATCTACCATCTTGCGCCTCAACCCGGGGAGCTATCTCGTTCTGTTTGAACGATTCAGGTTCGGCCTTTTGTTGGCCTGATTACAGTTTCCGACGAGTCAAAGCGCTTTTTCAATGGCGTTTTTCTGACATTCCTGATTGTTGAACATAATTCGTAGGTAATCGACGTAAATTTTAATTTTCATGGTGTAAACGGCATGAGTTAATTTTTTGGTATCTTATTAGAAGATGTCGATGGGTGTCGAGTTCCTAGTTCACTTTAGCAACAGTTTACAGCTACGGGCTGAGATACGTAGAGCATTTGATCCGTTCAGGAGGGGCGTGTTCAACAGACTTTTCTTCAATACAGTCGACGAAGGAGTGCTACGCAGTGAACGTTAACTCTTAACTAACTCAAAAACTTCACAAGAATTGGCTGGAATTCAGTTTGGAACGAATTTTGAAGTCAACACCTGGTTGGGTTCACTAAAGGTTAGGTGACAGTGACTAGACTTGCTGATTCTAGGAAATGATCTTTTTCGACTCTATCTTTCGGTCACTTTAGGCTGAAAACCGCTTGACTATGATTGCTACCTCAACTTGCTAAACTTGAACTGGATTTTGACTTTCCGGTGGCTGCGTCGAATCCTATCTATCTTTCATCATTAACTTGATGGATGCCCCGATTTGCGAAGAATTAGTATGGTGGTTCTCCGAAATGTATGCAACGGAAATCGATGTGGTTATGAAATTTGTGAGGTTCATTAGGAGTACTTTACAGGGATAACGCCCTTTTGTAATATAGTGTGTGTATACTATAAGAGGCGAACTTTCGGTCCGCCAATCGGCGAGGCAGTGCAAAACTGAGGTGTAGGCAAACAGAACTAGAGGAGATTTCGTACTGTGAGTGAAGCCAAGCTGTGCTGAAAAGCCGAGAAGCACTGTAGACTGTTTCATCCTCACACTACCAACAATGTATGAGTAGCTCAGTGGAAGAATAAACTTCACTCGATGAGTGAAACTTCCATCTAAGTCTTTGCTCGAGGAGCCAGTCAGCACGTGTGACCACGTGATGTGGATCCTGTGATTGAAGGATGAGTGGCGCTATATCCTGTCTAAGTGCGAGCTAATCACACCGCTGATCAGCCACTCGTGGCCGAACGGTTAAGTGTTCAAACTGCTGGCCAGGAGGTCGCGGGTTCGGGACTCTTCGGAGTTTCGTGAGATGATGCCCAATAAGGATGATAGAGCTGTACAGTGCTTCTCGGCTTTTCAGCATAGCTTGACTTTACTTACAGGACTAAATCTCCTAAAAAAACCCAAATATCACACTACGAACAAATAGAGATAGAGTAATTACCCCAAAGGTTCCTTAACTGAATTGTTTACAAATATGCCCAATCAACTTTCGGTTGGCGTCGCGCGCAAACGGAGTCCATGATTCGGGCTGTGCTCAACCGACAGCAGAAGCGGTTCATGGGTGGTGACCAGCCAGATTTGTTGATCACGAAATTCTTCCGTCCATCAGAGCCGCCTGCCATCCACTCTTCATCGCCTTCCACCGAACCACCTGATGAGGTAAGCGTCCGTTTTTGTCAACCATTTCCGGGTGGGATTACACCTGCGTTTTTTTATTGGACCAATCGTGTCCCTCAAATTCTACCATCCCTTATACGGCATATTACCGCTTTCTCGTCTCGACGCGCGGTTGAATTGGTGGTAACCATCGTGGTTCCGGAACTCAAGTGCATACGAAAAATACTGGTCGTAGTTAGCTGTTAATCGCTTTTATTTTCCGAACCATTCATTATGGGGATCTAAGCCGTCCCAATTCATTCATTTTTATTTATTGGAGGAAATTCTCAATAACAGTAAACACATGTAAGTCATGCGACGGCATTCACTCACGTGGGACCGATCTGTAACAGTTACCCGTTCTCGTTGCCAAAAGTTTTACTACAGAATAAAGTACAGCACTAACAAGCATTGTCTTTGTGGTATGAAAGTGAGATGGAGCAGACTAGCAAGCCTGCAAAGAGTAAGACGATCAGCCAGCCGGTAGTGCAGAGAATTGGTCGAACGAACAGTAGCCTGTGGGGGAATGCAGAGAAACAAGCTCGCAGGCGCAGCAAGCTGAATGGCCGCAGCGTAAATTCACACCACCCATGCTGTTTCAAAAACGAACCCTGTGGGTGTCAAGCAGCTTCGCTCTTTTCTCTTGAGGGGCTTCCCTCAGAAAGGTGAAATTAGAGTCTTTAGATGGGCTCACTGCTCGGAAACTGGTCCTGTAGTGCTTTGGTTAGTCCGAGTTGTGAATAACCAATCAATCGGGTTAATCGTCTATCTTCTTTTCTCTGCTGTTGCCACTGGCGACAGCATCCATTCTCTAGGTTGAACAAACTGTATTGCAGAGGATTCATTGCAGTAGGCCGTGAGAATTCGAGCTTAGCTGTCAATAGCATGCTGCATAGATTTTTGTGACAACCAGGAGGACGTAAGCCTTCCTCTCTCCGGGTAGTCCTGCGTAGTACCGATCGCTGTGTGTGTGGAACACCATGGGATCATCTTGCGTAGTTAGGACCCATGTAACTCTTACTATGTGGAATACAACGGTTTATGGCGGGTTACTTTCCGTCGATTCACGCTCGTACTGCCTGGTTGAGCCACACTATTCAGGTCGTATGAGTTTTGTCCCGCGAATGATCGAAAGTTTTTTAGTTGTACTTATTTGAATCATGCGCCTGTGAGATATACTTCTTTCGTTGATCCAAGAAGGAAATCCACTTGTAGGCGATGAGATTTGGAAGCTTCACTTCAGTGTTCACTTCCATGTTGCAGAAGAAAACGATTTATGCTGGACAGTACAGCTATTGTACTCGGTCGGCGTGGTCATGAATGTGCGTCTGGTGAAGCACTGGAACGTTCCGGACCTGAAATTTTCGGATTGGAATCTAAACCACTCAGCTAAGGGTGACTGATCAACGGGGTAGTCAGTGTGCACCCAGGATATATCGTCATCGATCACTTGCGCCTTATTGAGTACTGATGAAAAAACCTGCCTCATTAAAACTCACTTAATTAGCCTCATGAAGGGCAAAACCACCAGCAGGCTGTCCAATGCTTCAATTGGCCTTGAAAGCAGTACCGAATCCAGGGTTCAAGTTAATGTTGAATTCCAGTAGAAATAAAGCCGCGCAAGCGTTCATAATGTACGTCAGTTATAAAACGTGTAAAAATATGTCTGAATGGTGGGTGCGGACATCCTCTTTGGCGTAAACGATGCAGGCACCGTAAGTAAGACTATACCCACTAACTTGATCGAACAAATGAAACAAGCTGTGTCGCTACAAATGTTCTGTGGAAAACTGGCGTCCTTCTAGCACTAGAGACCGGAATACTTTTGAGAATTTGCAACACGAATTTCGCTCTTACGAGTATTAATCAGATGCACGTCGTTTTTCCAACCCTCTGAAAGGCGCAGTCTTTGTAAATTGCCCCATAGTTTGTAGGTTTACTTCTATATTGCACCAATTCAACTGGCGACCAAGCCAGTCCTCTATTGGCCAAAGCTCACTGATGCCAGGTGGTGTTCTTCACTTCGGTGTTTCTCCACCATGTTTCGACTCGTATGTGTTGTGAACAGACTTATATGAGAGCTCATGGCATCGGACTTTCTGACTGAATTCCCACACGGTCCATTCTGCGACTATCGTTGCGCTGCTGTTTTTCTTTCCAGGTTACTCTCCCTAGTAAACGTGCTCGCAAGGCCGTATGCAGCTTGGTAAAGAAGGCAAAAATTGGCGACAGCGAAACGGAATCGTCAGACAGTGTACTAAAGTTGGACGAGCCCACTGAGCTTCCGTGTCTACAAAGACCACGTCGGAAACAGAAGGGGCCCATCGTGGATTCAGTCACGAAGACTGTCAGACAACAGAAAACCCGAAATGGGAAATTCGCACAGCCTTCTCGCCGAGTGGTGTCTCGTGTTTCGTTATCTGAGGATGAGAATGATGACGATTAGTCCTCACTTGTGATATCACTGCTACTTTTGTACAGAATAATTTCCTTTCTATTAAAAAAGTCATTGACGCCACGACTTCCGTACTGTTTTTTCGTAATGGACTGGTAGTTACTTAACAGAAGACAAATTATTTTGTTCCAGTTCTACCTTTTACAAGTATGTGCCATGCGTTAATTAAGTGAGATTCGGCAGGCAGTTGGCATAATGTACTCCCGAAGTAGTACTCCCTACAGAAAACACATTCATCGAGAGGGCAGTTTTTGAGGTAGGGAGTTTTTTCCCGCTGCAACCCTGCTTCGAGGGACAAATCCTTTTGAACGGAAACAGAGATATTGACAAACCTCCACGTAGTTGGCTCATTCTTCACCGGAAGATATCAGTGGAACGTTCCCTATCACAGATCCAGGTTGATGTTTTTCAAAGAAGCAAAACGTGGTCTCAACCGGCGTTTCCCAGGCGGATGTGACAGCGGTGTTCATGAAATGCCTTGGTTAGTGTATTCCACCTGATGTAGATGGGAAGTCTCCTTAATGATCTGTGCTTGTGATTCTCCTTTGTATCCATACGGGACTGTCTGCGTAAACTTTATTACGCATGTTACATTCTTCCCTAGGGTACCCTGGAAGGACCATTCTCTAGGGGAGCCCATGGCAAGCATTCCCCGCTAGATTTCTGTGAGGCTGCTCACCCCTGGAAAGGTCGTGCATATCCTAGAAAAACAAGTACTGACTGTACCTACGTTGAACGATCATGAAGCGTACAACCTATAGTGCATACGGTGGGAACACATCGTTAGTGGCAAGGCGAAAGGTCAGGGCGCAAGACACATCAATAGCTTCTAAATGTATCGAACTAGCTCACAAGAGTCAAATTTAAATCCAGAATATTACCATTGTTACTTGAGTTTGATTGAGTTCCTCTTTCGCTGTGCTACCCTTTCGGCTTCCTGTTTTGAATATAAATAAGTGTAGTACAGTTTGTTGCCTGTGCAACGTATGTTTCGTGTGCTGGCTGAAACAGAATCATCATCGGCAGAAATACGCCAGAATTTGATTGTCATACAACGTAAAAGTCACTTTGGTAATAAATAGAAAGGAGAAAACCTGAGGTCCCTATGAAACTTATTGAGAACGAGGTCCTTACACCTCGGAAGTAAACGTGTCTAAGCATCATATCGTAGAAGGACGCTATCAGCGAGATTGGTCCCGCATACTATGTGAGCCATAGTCATCATTTCAGAGACCCTGCTAGTTCGGTTTGAAAGTGGTCGCCAGTGAGGTTGGTTACTTGTGATTATCCCGTGCAAGGGGAATCGCACGGGACGCAGCCTGGGAGGCAGAAAGGTCCAAAAACACTTTCTTCGTCTGTATCGAGTCATATCTCACGTTATCATGTTGTGAACTGTATTTTGAAAGCTTCACCACCAAGAGTTTGGAAACCGTGGGCTGTGGTCGTTGGTCGATACTGGTGTTAGATTACGAGATGAGCATGTATTAGGATAGAAACTAATATTTCAATGGGGTCGCTTTGAAGGACTGGATCAGGAGATTCGTAAAGACACTTAAGCCACTGGACAAAACAGGCGGTTTGCTCTGGAGCGTTAACAGAAGCTTATTTAAAACTATGCACATTATGCACAACTCCATATTTATATCAAAAGACGAACCCAGTCGATGGATACGAATATCTTGTTTAAGAGAACTTCCTGATGCTCCCACAATTCTCTGTGTGGAGTGATGTAGGATCAAATACATAACCCCCGAAGTGAGTTCATCCTCCCAGAATAGGATAAAAAGTCCTTTATCGCATGGTTGACTCTCTTCGGAAACATTTTCACTGCAGATCAGAGAACTAGGGAGCTGCTGGCTACACATACGGATGTTTACCTCTAATGAAACGAGAATCGATGAATGTACAATAAATGTAACCCGTCCTGGGTGAACAACATACCCCTGGTCTTGTGCTGACTGGATCCATTGAAGGCGGCCATCAGACTTCAACAATCCGATTTGAACGGCAAGCCAAACTGATCACAAAATTCATATTTGCCGTTCAAGCTCACTTGCACAAGTGTGAGCTAGTCAGCCGCGTGGTGCCAGAGTTGAGTATCAAGTTCGAACAGGAATATCAGATGATCAAAACTCACCACGTCAACCTGGTGAGTTTTAATCGTTTCGAAATGTATAATGGACAAAAAAATGAGGAAGCCGAAAAGGCGTCAAAATTAGTCTCATCTTGCTTTTAATGTCTTAACTTGATGTCATGGTTGAAATAAGTGATCTACACTCTCAAATCTGTTCTTAAATACCAACTCCTCCAGTATGTCCATTTACCGAATACAAGAGAAACGAAACCTGCATTCATACATACATAAACCGGGCTGATGAACCAGGATAGGTGCGACGTAGCCCTGCCATGCCAACCGAAGGAAGCGCGAGGGCGGAGATACCCCCACGTTGCCCAAACCCGGACAGGAGCAGTCGAGAGACTGAGGTCGGCTTCGAACCGCGGACCTTCCAGTTCTCGCTCTAAGCACAGCCATCCTGAGCTTCATTTCCTCTTGAAATATAGGCATCCAGTCGAGTGATGCGTCGTTCCTGTTTCACATATTCGTGTTTTCTGATGGTTAAAATACGGAGTTTTGACAGGCCTGTTTTTCTCCGGATTCACTTCCAGCGCGAACCTCTAGTTAACAAACACGTCGAAGTACTGAGTGACGTTTCTTCGGATAAGTGCTGTCTGTATTCGAATATAACCAACAACAATTCATTCGTAGACCACTGGAATTAGAAAAGTTCAGAAGGGAGAGTGCGGATCGAAAATGGACACGAATGAACATCATGGAGAGGACAGTTATAAACAGCCTATTGTCGGTTTAAGAAAAATTACTGAAAGTTCAGGATCCGACCTGAGCCAATTTGAGATGCGAGAGACAAGGTTCTTTCAGCTCAGGAAAAGATCACTGACCCGTCTTCTGTTGTCACCTCCCTCAAATGTTGATCAAGTAGCTTACGCGGGTTACCTCACTTTTACATCCAAAACGCACTGTCCTCCATCATTTTCGAATGCGATGAGACAGACCGGTAATACGATCCCTCATACGCCTGTGTGTGACCACGACGCTATTCACTTGTTTAGGACAAACTTCCTACTATCAGTCACGTCCATAGTTGCAAAGTGCTTTACAGAACTAAAATAGCCGACGATAATCACCGCGCGTAGCTCGAGAACAATTAGGTATAGGGGAACCAGGATGGATTTCATGTAACTTCTTGTAAGGAAAGTAATCATGAGAAATAACAAGCTTGTACTTAAACTCTTTGAAAAGTGAACAAAACAGAACAAATGCGTCAACAACAACAAAAAAAACAGATCAAGAATACGTGACTGTCGGTGTTCGCCTGACAAACAAAACAACTCGTCCGGTGTTCATATCCACATAGACTATTTGGAAGTAAGGTTTCCACGATGAAGGTGTAACCACTCGGTGATGCGCACCGTTTGTTTGTAGGGATTCGCACAAAGCGGGCCGTCCGGCGAGTTGAGGTAGGATGAGGTCGTAAAGTTCTGGATTACTGCAACCTTGCCGGGGATGACAGTGTTGCTCATCCACGATAACAAAGTCGGCCTGTGTGGGAAACAGATGGTTGAAAAACTGTCAGACTTCAAACAACGTGATCCATTGACGACGCCGTACATTAGTTTAAGAGGCAGTGTGAAAGAATAAGGAACACTATGCGCATGAGTCCATGGTGCAAAGATTATCGTCTTAAGCTTATTTCACTGCTTAACACAGAAGCCCCGATAAGTTTTCGGGGTGTCCACAAAATGCGAGATCTAAGGAAATACCAGGAACATGACTTTACTAATTACAATAATCGTTCAGCTGTAGCGCTCTTTCGGTGCCTAGCCGCCATGCCACCCGAAGGAAGCACGAGGGCTGGGATACTGTCAGGTTGCCCAAGCCTAGACAGGGAAGTTCGAGAGGCAGAGGTCGGATTCGTACCACGAACCTTCCGGTCATTAAGTTCGCGCTCAAACTACTTGAGCCATCTCGCCCCATGACTTAAACAAAGGGCGAACGTACCTGTAACTGGTGACGATAGATGTGCCATACTTTGTCTATGGGCTGTCGACTGTAAATTGCGTACGCTAGTACGGTTCGTCGTCGCAGCTCGGCATTTTCATAGTGCGGATGGTTGGTGAACGCAAAGCCAGCCCAAGTGCGACCATCGTTCGGGGGAAGCTGAGTGCTTGGATAGGACGTAGTAGCTGGTAACATGAGGCGCAGGCCGCCGAGAGTTGACATGGGGCCAGCAATGACCCAAGGCACCCGAACATCTTCTTTGGGGGGTGGTAAACTTTGAAACCAGTCCAGTAATGCTTCGTCGTCATAGGCGCTGAACTGTCCTCGGATGTCAAGTTCGGCCTAGAACGGAGGTGAAAAGAGTAGGCAAGTGGTTACTGAAAATCGTGATGGACCCAACAAGGGTATTTAAACCACTGTGATTACTGGAGTAAAATAATACTGCTTGTTAGAACCAACTGTCGCTACTTTCCAGATGGTCTGAGCCGATGGTAACCGGGATGCGCAAAAAACCGAAATTCGCTTGGTCTACATGCTTAACCACTCACGGCCTAATGATCATCAGTGTCACGATGAGACTGGACTTTACCGTGGTGTGGCGGCTTGTGTACCTCGGCGACCCATTCAGCGCGACACTCGCAGAGTCTCTCATATCAGGTTGGTCCATGGGTAGAGGTCTGGCGAACACAGTCTCCTGGCCCTCCAGGTTGGGAGTTGGAACATGTATGGCAACGTGTTCCGTAAAAATGGTAATGTACTTACATTTTCAACCCAACACCTCTGCCTTGTGGTTAGGCTTTTGAGTCAAAGGCTTTGGTTGATGACCATAATTGTTCTCCTGTCTAGATGTGGGCGCCTTGGCAGTATCCTAGCTCTTGTACAACCATGACATTCGCAACTGACAATACTCTCACAGCCTGATTGATGAGGAAGTGCAAGCAAACAGCATCAACTGCACATGACTCCAGCTGTAAGCCTAGCCCGAAGGAAGCTCGGGGACTGAGATGCTGCCAGACTTCCCAAGCCTAAACAGGAACAGTCGATAGGCGGAGATTGGGTTAGAACCACGAACCTTACGGTCACTAAGTTGACGCTTTAACCACTGAGCCATCTCGAGTACAACTGCGTATGTCCATCTGAGTAGAGGCGCCTATGACGCAACTTGCCTACTCCAACCACTGAGCTGTTTCACTCCTGTCTGGCATTCACAGGCTCACGGGTGGGATCGACACCTATCATTAACCAGAACAACACGTGACAAACTAACATTTAAAAGACTGCAAGGATGAGACAATATAGCGAAGAGAGGTGTCGTTGGAACCACATACTTGTAAATTCTTTGTCCCAGGTACCGTTATGTAGGCCGCCAACAAGACGATCAGGAAATGGACTGCAAGAGACGAACGATTCCGAGAAGTCGGAGAGAAAGATCCGTCCTGGGATTTTGGAAATTCACGCGCACGGGAAACGCTGTCAAACAACCGACTCCATCGCAACGGTTGGGCCAACAAGGCAAGCGACAGGCACAGCTGAGGCGTCCAGAACAGTTTTAGCCGCATGATTAATATGGCCATGATGGAGAAGAAGCATAACTGAGTAAACGAAGAACGGTAGACACGGAATAGAGGGACACGTGCTTGAGGAACAACATTTGCGAAAATCAATAAAATGGTTCTAACGTCGCTGTTTCAAGGACCCCAGCCACAAGAACAGACATTTCTCACGAGGACGTAATCTTATAGGCACCGCAAACCTCAGGAAAGCAAAGTCGAAAGAATACGCTTTATATTCTTCTAAGTGGACAGTTTACTCTCCAGGATAATGATAATGGACTAAGCCATTGAACAGACTTATCATAGGACTATTCCTTCAGGCAGTTTGTCATGAAGACGCTAACCAACCACGTGGATGAACTCTTGCCGACTGGACCGAACTTGGCTTGGCGAACGTTTCAGTCTAGGGCGCACGTAGTGCAGTTCTTTGGAATAATTCACGATTTCAACATTGGTTGACAATGATAGATAGAGTTCGACAACAAAGCGAAACAACGCACAATAATAATTCCATAATTACAATCGTGATCGTTGTCACTTAATAATACTTCTTCATGTGGTCCTTATAAATGAAGGAAACTCAATGAGCTCGAGAGAGCTAGTGATTAGGGTGCGAACGTGTTGACCAAAAGGTCCGTGGTTCGAACTCAAGCCCGGTATGTCGACGGTTCCTGTCTAGGCTTGGGCAACCTGGCTGCATCCCAGTCCTCATGCTTCTTTCGGGCTTTATGGTAGTTAAGCACCGAGGTGTCACGGCTGAATGATTATTTCAATTTTCTTTTGTAGAAAACCCGGTAATCCGAAATAACCTAAGTGACGGGGGATACGGAAGCTCATCCCATTGCGCTATTCTGTGTCCGCCACGAAGATACGGGGGTAAGGATCGTCTGAGGCATTCATTGTAAACAAAACTCGGAAATTCTATCTCATCATCATGCAAGCCGTGCAGTACATGTGGATTTTCCCATCTCATGTCAGAGAGCATGTCATGCTCCCTCTTCCCAAGAGGGGAAACTTGGAATTTTTTATGAAAACATATTCTGTAAGAGAAGCTATGTTCGTAGTCATGTGGCGGGAAATCGTATTTTGTCAGGTTCTGATGCTAAGGCAATTGTGCAATCTGAAATCATCAGTCACCAACCTACTCAATAAGAAAGTTGAAACTAGTAAAATTTAGGAAGAAACTTGCCACTTAAGGGAAATAAAAATCCGATATGCAGATAGAAATATATACTGCTGTTACCCAGACGAAAGGAAACTTCCGATCTGTACGGAGGCCATCCGTCCCTAATAACCGAGCATCACATCATTTGGACGGATGTGTCACGTGCAGGACACGAGCCAAACGAAGGCATGCCCTGATTGGTCAGAATGCCAGCCAATCCGAGTCAAGCACCTGTGACCCGACGCTTCTCGCCCCTCACGCAGATCCTGGCACGACTTTGTGGAACACTCTGTGACTACCCTATAAATACAGTTGTGATAATTTCCTTTTGTTTCCATAAAGGGCTGTGTAGAGCTACCGTGCCTTTCGATATCCCATAGTGGGTAGAGCAGGAAGCCAAGGGACCGATACAGAGTTGCACTACCGTCCACCAAGATACAACACGGTCTATTATTAAAAGTAGATTGATTTATAACTGGAACTAGGGTTGTCTCTCTCTATCTGCCTAGAAATTTTCATTTATTTCGTAGGTGAATTATTTAGTGTTAACACGAATATCACCGAAGTGTGTACGCTGTGGCACTCCTCGTCCATCATTTCGAGTTAGGTTGTAGTCGAGAGTTTGCTACAATGGGGTCTGCGATTTGTACGTTGTTCGGTTACCGTTAGCGTTGATCACCGTCCCAGGACCGACGAGTGTCAGCCCAGAAAGGAGGAATAACTCACAAATTGTCTGACGTCGCGGGTAAGAAACTCCATACGGATGCGCACTGTTAATGTTACCCAATAAAGATAGAGCAGTTGTGCAGTGCTTCTCCGCATACATCGACTTCACTTGCAGGACAACAATGAAATTCCTAAATCCTAATGCCAACCTTCGATGTGCTATAGGTGTGTTCCACATGACGTGAAAGTAAAACTGACAACAGTGTTTATAACAAGAAAAGGAAAACCGCAAACAGAAAGCTCATCGAGGGATGAGTCAATATACTTTAGCGAGAAAATTCTAACGTTCAAGTAAATACATATAGGTGAACTAGACTAATCACCTGAAAGATAACAAACAGTGAGATGAACATGCTTCGAATCCGCACAGTTCCACAAGACAAATCCATGTTCTCTCTGGGTGCCGACGAATGAATCGGTCGGGATATCTTGCGCTCCCATAGCGTCCATGCAGCGTCACAGAATACCCAGACTGATAGCAGGACAGCCACTGGTAGAAGACCAGTTTCCAGGGGTTGTTTTATTGTCTCTTTCTGAACACGGTTGAACAGGAAAGAAAAGATTGACTGTCAAATAAATGTGGCATGATTGGGTCGCTAGAGTCAACACTGAATCTAGTTTACTCGTGTAAGCGTATTTCTGATTAGTGTATAATGCGTTATCAAGACAGGGTCTTTGAAATCAGCCATACATTGCACCACCACAGGAATCTTACCATACATTTGTATCGATGCTTCAGACAAATTGTTGAAATGGCTCCTGTTTAATTGCGGCGTTTTTTATAGATCGTGCTTCCTTAACTATCGCCGCGATTGCATGGCTTCTTTTTGTTGTCGTCTCCCGCTGATGAAGGATTTCATTGGTATTTTTCGAACCTTTCTTAAACAGTCCACAAAGCAAGTAACCGAGCTAGCTTGATGTAGTTTGAAAACATGTTGCCAGAATGTGGGTTTCACCTATTATATCTGGTAGTACAGCTTGCGCTATTAGGGGAGTTCACATATGTACCATGGCTCCCGAATCGCAGCTTTAATTGTGTTTTATACCGATCTTCGTAACGGTGCTCCTGCACTTGGCGATTAGGACTTGCTTCGTGTTGACCACCCAGTTAAATGTCATATCCGGGGTGGTGCAGCGCTTATTAGAACTAAACAGCATCTAATCCACGCACACAAGCAACGGGACTACTTAATTACGCGGAAAGTTCATATATGCAGCTGATTGGATCGGTGCCAAACTGCCCACTAGACATAATTAACCCAGCCAAACCTGGCGTTCAAGCGCCTAGGACAAAAACATATCACTTTCTGTGACGACCAGTTTTCAATTTTTCGGATTTCCGAAGAAAAAGGCAGTCTTTTTTGGAGTAGCGGGGCTAGATTTTACGAAATTTATCCTTTTTGGAAGGGCGGAATTTACTCTTCAGTTCCTGATGGAGTTCAGGCGACCGAGACAATGTGAATTCTTTGGGAAGAATTCCCTATCCTGGGGGCCAAATTAAGACCACTTAGTCTTCCGTAGGACTGAAGATATCTTGAATTACTCGAGATGTTCAGCAATCACATTAGAAGGGACACTATGACAACTAGCAGCGGATCTCAAAAATACCGCGTAGCTTACCTGCCAGTCAGACGAGAGCATCGCTTTGTGACACAACAGGAAAGAGACAACAGTTCAACAAATAACTGCGATGTCCAGTCAATGAGAAAAGCCTGGAGTGGACCGAGAAATCTCTTTATAGGAACTTCTCGTAAACAGTCGGTGTACTTGCCATCAATCAGCGTTTTGCTTTTGACACAAAAGACGTAACAGGTCACCAGGTGGACTGAATGTCAAGGCAGACAAAAAACCAATAAGCGAGATACTCTTCAACTAGCAGACTGGATAAGTGCTGCAAGTTCTTTTCGGTCAGTTTAGGAAACCACGAATGATAGATTGTGATGGGAGTTACACCAATCTGTGTTGGGTTCGGGGTCTTGTACCTCCGGCTCAAGTGATGATTCCTATTTGGTGTTGTTTACCAATTTTTCGGTCTACATAGACGAGATTGATGACTACCTTTCACTGATGACCGCACACCACCACGGTCAACTCTGCTGTGCGAATAATCACTCTCCATACGCTTGACTTCTATTTTGTCCACACAGGGATGCATGGCGGCCATCATTGCATGAACCGTAACGATCGTCTCAGAATTTTCTAAATCTACTTTGTGTCTTGAGTCTAGTGCACGTTCCGAAAACGCTGACTAGCGCTCGATGTTCGTGCGTATGCTTAGCTTTCATTAATTTCTGGGCGCGACATTCTCTAGCTGTTTGAGCTACGTGGGTTTCCGTAAAGTCGTTGTATTTGTTCCCACAAACAGTCCCTGGTTCAACATACGGAGAGGCAATCCCTCCAGTTCACCAATGTAGGGCGCTTAGTATCGTCTCTGTAGAAGTTCATTTTTACGTTTGCGGCATTCAGGACCCTTCGAGTGACTTCTGATTTCCGGTCAAACATGGATGAGGCAATACTAGTGAGTAGTAACCCTGTGATGGACCGACGATTGGCTAAAATGCATCATTGTCAGATGGCTTGGCTGCACGATGGTCGACAATGATCTTCCCGGTTGACTCATTCTCTAACCAGAAACTCAGTGTAGCTGGTAGCCTGGATAAGCCTTCGCCACAAAATCCACCGGTTGTTTACAAACTCTTCCGAACCGCATGGCACACCTCGGTCAACCTGTGGAGTCAGCGCAGCTTAACTTTTGCTACCCAACGTCTCTGAACAAAAACGTTCAAAGATGAAGTCATTCCCGTGAGGAGGCCAGTCACAAAAACCGGACAACAATATGAGTTGATGCACAAAACCAAATCTGCTAAAAGGATGAGTGTGGCAAACACACTATTATGGTATGAATGCAACGAAGGGAGAAACTTTGAAGACGAAAAAAGTTACCGACCTCACTTACGCTCATGAAATCAAACTCGCGAGCACAGGTATACAATCGTGTATGAAAAGTGCGAAACTGGCCACTCAAGTCCAACTTTTCACGAAGCAAATCAAGAATGTGTCCACCATCATGCTCTTCCTCACTGACGGGGAACAATAGTCGGGTGAGGAGCAATCCTGGTACAATAGTAAAACCCACGGCGACTGCAAGGGGCCAGAATATTAACATAAGCCTTGATCCTGTCGAACATGGTGACGTGGACTGACCATCTGCAGTAAACGAGAAGTAAAACGGGATGGAAGTCGGTTATATGTGAACCCACTTCTAAGTACTATGTGGGGGATTTCATAAATTATTTAGGAAACGACATCTTTGATATCCGTTTAGCGAACAGCCCACTAGGTTTAGACCAACAGGGTGCACGGTAATGAACTTTTTTTATTGATCTGTCCTACAAGCTTTACATATGCTTTGACAACTTTTCCTCAATGTTCGAAGAAACATCAAATGTGCGCCATTCAGCACTTTTATCCAGCTGTCGTGCCTGAGTCTATAGGGTGTATCTAGCAGTAAGGTAATTGGAGAGTTGAAGTTGTCTCGAGGTCATAGGTCCGTTTCCAATTTCTGTGGTGTGCAAATGATGGAAGTTTTGGATGGCGGGAGTTGTCAAACAATGACCATCATCGTCTGAATTGATCAACTTTCGGCTGACTTGCTAATCCAAGGGCGGGTTATTAGGAGTATCCAGGAAAGAACACCTACAGAATGGATCCGCTTCTGATCCCGTTTCAGTAGGTTGCGCCCGGTTAGGGCCGATCGACAGCGGACTGTACTGGAAAAGAAATGTGATTAAAACCGCCGTGAGGTCGCTGAGAAATCGTGCGTTGTAGCGTCATACAGCTTCGCCGGTTCATGTTGTATTTTATGCAAAACGCAATGACGGTCATCCTTTTTCTTGGATATTTTTCGCTGTTGTCCAACTTACAGGATTCAAACACTTAAAGCCTTCTATTCAAGACAAGTATTCAATGGATGATACAAGCTGAGCTAGGCTCGAAATACACAAGTTAGACAAATGTACATATAATTGGCAAAGTTCAATAAGAAAGTCCGATATAAGGACAGCTGATTGAAGACAGGAATCGTGGAAATATATGGTGCCAAACTTTTGCACAATTTGGTAAGGAGCATGCAAACGTACCATATCTTGGAACATTTAAAACACACGAGTTCACACCAGGTTGAAAAGGGTCTCGCACACAACACCTTAGATAAAAAAGATTTAATGAACACTACTCGGAATGATATGTGCTGGGATGGGACACTGTGAAAAACTGGCAACCATTAATAGCCTTTCGCGAGCTGTAAATGAAGGTTAGAGGTTTGGAAATCCAGCAGAGATTCACCATTGCAGCAGCAACAGCTGATATCACCAAACCGGTGTAACTGTTTGCGCTCAGTTCGTTACGGTGAATTAAAACTAGGTCTGAGAAACCATTTGCGTCTAAGACAACGTATTTCTCATGCTTTCTTACTGGTTACTTACCAAACTGATTCGAAGTGATCGTGCAATCGATTAACCAAAACGGAACACAATGATGGGTGTTTTAGAGTAAGGTGATAGTTTAGAGGGAAGAATTCCCCCTTAAGGAGAATTCTATGCACGAGAAAGATAATGGCTAATCCCAGAGTGGAAGTACGGTATTTGGTGCGCTAAAAGCAGCAAAGGTAGAAACACAAACGATGAACGATGAACTATTTCAACGAAATGACAAGCTAACCAGAGACTTGTTTTTTATTGGACGATTCCAGACGACTGGTTGGTGCCGCGGCGCAAAGTTTTCTCCGCAGAACTCGTAATCCAACAACCACCCCAACTAAACCAGCCGGATAGCCAGAAGACATAAGCAGCCCATTGCCGAACTGTAGTCCAAAGCTGAGCAATAAGGCCAGAAGATGAACAAACACGACAGTGTGGACACGGTCGACAAGCAGTATGCATCGGTCTGACAACGTTTGCGAACCGACAGCCGCGGTTATGCAACAGGCGGCAAACAAAGAAGCGACTTGGGTAGCCAGCGCAAACTGAGCGAATTGCCACGGGAGTTGAAATGCCAACAGCAGGAGACAGTAGACCGAGGCAGTTCTGGGAGATATGCGAGTGGTTTTCTACAAATACATCCAGAATGAGAGAGAAACGAAGTTCGTCAGTGCATATTGGCGGTAGGTTGTAACTACGAGGAAGACCACAGCAAATATGAAACCAGAGCCCACTGTGCAAGAACACATAAAAGATTAGTGAGTGGAATGGTTTGCCTCTGTCATGTGGTATGCAGAACATATAGTGAAAATGAAGTCATGTTTCCGTGACGGGCATAACGTCGTTCGATTAACACAAGGGTGCTGGATAACAGAGTGGTTAAGTCCAAAACACCCAACATAATTGTCAACACAAAACCAGACCTGCTAGATTGTGCTCAGAATTACCCAACGAACTCGAATCGAGGGCGTCAAAACAGTGGAGCACGGGATAGTCAGGCCACAGAATGCATAAGAAATTCTGTGAAATAAACAGAGGAGGGTGAATTAAAAATCCAATGACCAGGACTATAACAGCAGGTGAACTGCACTATTCACACCACCTGAATCGTGAAACAGAAATATCTTACAGTAGTAGGTAAACCACGTGTACTACATGTCGCAAAGAATAAAAAGGTTGGGAACATCCCTCGTATGCAGGATTGGTGCGCCAATACGAACGAATTAAATGAAAACATGAAAGCCAGAAAGCAGACAGACATTGTCAAATCGACATGTTGTTGCTCACAGTTGTCAACCAATCTATCTATCAGCTAAAAACCGTGTGCCATAGGAACAGTTGTTCCAGCTGCTACAGTATCGATATCCGGAAAGTGGGTGAGTGTGGGATATACAACCAAAACTTGAGGGTGATGGCGTATTTGGTTAGTTCGGGAACTGAGTAGCTACGCATTGAAAGGAATTAGGCCATTTCTGCAATAACCACTGATCGGTTGAGCTCCGGATTCCACATGCGGTGAGGTGGCAGTTGTCGAACTGACTGAGTTTACTGGTTAGCGTTCTCATATATATTTACCAAATCACATATAGTCCACCTATGGGTCGCTTCCACTCAGCACAGGACTGGGCGAAAAGAACTCTGCGGACAGACGGTCTCTTGGCATGTGAAACACGTTCTAACCAGCGTAACCTACAGAGCCGTTGGCAAAAGCTGCACTGGCCTTCCTGATTCGAGAAGTAATCTCATCCCCAGGCAGTCCAGCGGGACCTATATAGTTACCAGGTAAACAAACTTATCGGTTGGTTAGTCTGCAATCATAGGGTTTTAAAAAATTGTTCAGAAGCAGCACCCTTTCGGTGCCATGCCACCAGAAGGACACACGAGGGCCAGGACACTGCCAGGTTGCCCAAGCCTAGACAGGGGAAGTCGAGAGGATGAGGTCGGATTCGTATCACGAACCTTCCAGTCAGTAGATTCACGCCCTAACCACTGATCCAAACCAGTCCTGCAGCAGCGCTACACACTTTGCATCTGTGAAGCACCTGATAAACCGTGCGGCAGAGTTAGTTACGTTATTTAAAATTGTCTCCATTTAGAAAGGATCTGAAACAAGGAGAGCAATATCGTCCGCATACTAAATGTCTGTAAGCAAACGTTCCGGGAGCATTTCGACTCCGGAGGTTTCAGAGACATGCAGAGAAATTTCAAGCAGCACATCAACAGCAAAGTCGAGTAGAAAAGATAAGAGCGGACAGCCTTGTTTTACACCACTGGACGTGTGAACTCTGGCAAAAACGTCCCGTATACTCGTACGCGCCCACATATAGTGTCCTCATAAGGGATATAAATTCGGAACACACACCTGTGATCACCTCTGACACCGGCAAAGTTTCTCTCAATCGACAGAGTTAAAATCCGACTTCATATCACGAAGAACAGCCAACGTGGGAGATTTGGCGGAATGTTCAAGAATGTGTCACAAGGTAAAAATAGGGTTGATGTATCATCGACCAGGGCGAAACCCAGCTTGATTTTCACGAATCTGTCCCTCCAGATAATCGATCAACGTGCGAAAAATAATGTCAGAGAGCAACTTAGATCCGATGGGATACCAGGCTGAAGTCACGATGGTTTTCGCATAACACTCTTGCACACATTTTGAAAACTGGCATGAGGGTCCAGGAGCTCCATCCGACTGGTAACCTATTTACGCTCCTAATCTTCGGCAGTATGGATGTTAGACCGCTCGTCAGGACCTCACCATCTCCTTTGAAGAGTTCGGTGTACAAGCCATCGGCGCCAGGTGTCTTGTAGCGTTGGAGGATTGATAACTTAATCTGGATTGCTTTTGTTGATGGTGGTCAGACTGAATTTCGAGGTAAGCTGCCGATAGTCAATAACGTTGATAAAGTTAAGTCGATACAGAAAGTTCAAGTGAGCAAGAGCCCAGTGAACATTTTGAATGAGACTGGATTGCCGTAGCAACAGTCCCAGGAAAACGTAGGTCACAAAACTAGACGGAGAGATACACCCACCAGAAATTCAAATGCATTAGAAAAACGAACCTCAAACGATGCGAAACAAGTTTTAAAAGTGTCACAAGAAGTGCATCGAGAAACCAGCGCCCGTAGTAAAAAAGGCACACATAAAAAATAAAAAAAGATAATCGTTCGGTTCCCAACTGCCATGGAATACTTCCTGAATAGTTTGTCATCGTTGCTTCATCTGATCTGCTAGATCGAATTCCACAGAAGCGCATTGTAAGCAGCTTGGTGCAGACGATAGCGTGGTCTGAACCCAGGTGAGTGGTCCGATAGGACCGATAGCCCTGGACGGAGTAGCTCCATCAACAACTTATGACAGAGTGACAAATCTGTGTCCATTCTTGAGTGGTGGAGGCAGATGTGAGGTAATGTGTGGTAATGTTGACAATATCCGAAGCTAACGCTTGATAGGACCAAGCACTAGCAGACAGAGAAACTTCAAATACGGCAGTCAGTGTCGCTGCCATAGCCACCTTCGTTACGGGGGCCATCAAGACGACATTCACCTGATCATACCCGACTGAAAAGTGCATTCAGATCTGCTAGAACCAGAAGGTTCCTGGGAAATGCGGAAGCAGATCATGCAAACGAAAGCAGAAATTCTTCAAAAAGAACAAGCGAACAACGCAATGCCTTAACCTCAGTCGTTAACTGCTCTGCGTAGGTTGGTCGACTATAATAATTTGAAGGCCAGAAGAGGCCAGAAGGGTTTCGATTTTGCAGATCTAGAACACCAATGTGACTGAATTAATAAATATATACAGGGGTAACTAGAATATTTCAAAGAATCATCAGGCCGAAGATATTTGAGACGAAATTGATTGATACCAGAGTACGCCGAATACATAAGAAAAATGATAGTTGTTCAGCTGTAATACCCCTTCGATGCTTCGCTGCCACGTCACCCGAAAAAAGCACGAGGGCTGAGATACTGCCACGTAACAAAGCCTAGGTAATACCCCTTCGATGCTTCGCTGCCACGTCACCCGAAAAAAGCACGAGGGCTGAGATACTGCCACGTAAACAAAGCCTAGACAGGAAAAGTCGAGATTCGGAGGTTGCGTTCGAACCACGGCCAGTATGTTCACGTCTCAATCACCCAGCCATATCGCCGAATAGCCTTCAGAAAAAAGGCGAGACAGGTGGTCTGATAATTGGGCCGATGCGACAGATCGTTTTCATGGAACAACCCTGCTTATTTGGAAAAATGCTAGTAAAAGGGATCCAGGAGAATAATTAAGTGACTGAATAGTGACGCACGACAGGACCAAGGAAAGCTAATCACATTGACTGACAAAGGCCCTCTGCGGTGAACCATCATCTTGGGATCACCAGGATTATAGTTCAAGAGCAAACGTAGCCAAAAATGACTGACCCAGTATTCAGGTCAGTATGATCGTGGCAAAGGTGAAAAGACAAGTGGTCACTGAAACGATGAAGTTCAAGAAAGTGTGTGGGTCGAACCGTCTGAAATGAACTGGACTGTAGTTGGGTGTTAGGTTTTGTGAACTGTACAAAGCCGCAGCTAACGGGGACTCATTCACACTAAACTAGTACGGTAGCCAGTGTAAGGTTTGAGTGAAGTAATAAATACCTGTATCGAGGATCACGGAAATACTCAAATTCATAATCACTGCCTGGTGAGGAGCTAGAGTAGAAGAGTGAATTGAGTGAATTTCGTTGTGACATTGCCCTTACTTTTAGGTATTCCTAATGGTCCAAAGTGGACAGGTACAGCAAACTGTGGAAAACATCATCAAAAACCGATTAATCGATCAGGTTGGCTGGTCGCCAAGCTTCCAGGCTCCGTTAGTTTATCGTGAAATTAAGCGTTCAATTAGGAAATGAGCTTGAACATTTGGGGACTAGGTCTATTCCATGAGCCCCAGATAGGACGAGACCGGTGGTGAGCCAAAAGTTTTCAAAGACATTCGACATCTTGGATATTGTTCACAGTGAAGCATGAGGCGATCTTCAGTTGAGAAATATTATAAACGAGATACTTAGGTGTATTTCAGCAGAGATTCCCGTCAACACAACCTTGTTTCTCCTATTGCAGCCATCATACTCGAGTCTGTCGACCCGCTTCCCTCCAGAGTTCACCGTAGCACTCATGAGTTCGGTGAACTATTTTCTCAGATTTCTGACATTCTAAATTGCGAAAACCGATGTAAGCTGACTACCTTTAACCGTAAACAAGTATGGGGCGGATAATAGGGTTAAAAATAACCACATCAGTGGGGTTTGAAGAAGATTTGTTTCAGGCGATTCTTAAAGCAAGTTTCGAGTTAAAGTCTTGAAGTTTCTCATTCGATTGGTTCAGGGACCGATTGAGACAGACATCGATGTGATCAATTTTTCAGCGGAAGGGGAAAGAAGGATATTCAAGGGACCGGAAAGAATAATAGTTTTTTCCCCTGTACCACGATCTTTCAGTCATGATTCAAGCAGCAAATTACTGGTTGGATAAAACTCACCGGACTCGACAGCAAGTGTAACAGCCAAGCTTGCTGCAGTGTGAAAAAGGGATAGGCGAAGTTTTCTCTCAAAGGCGGAACCCACTGGACCCGAGTGGCTTCCCGATGGTTGAAGAAGTAGGCCATCACGGGGAGCAGGGCTCCCCAGACAGGTAACCAATAGGAAGCAAGTGTGTCACGAGAGTCAAGGATTGAGGATGCAGAAGATGCGACGGACCACCCAGACCAAACAAGACTGATGATAACAAATGCGGCCAGGAAGAAAATCGATCCGATGTAGAAATAAGATGGCTCCGCAAGACCGACACAACTGACGATCGACTGATCTTCCACTCCAACTGTCTGCGTAGGTTCCAGTAAAATTCTGTAACAAATGTGATGACGTAAGTTACCAGACAAATTCACATAGATTTAAGTGCCATTCATGTTCGAACGAACTGATGACTGGACAACCATTTGTCAACCAAGTTGATAACGGGGGGGGGGGGGCTCATCTGAATCCCAGCCGAAATACACGTTTACGGTTTTCAGAAAGTAACTTGATTTCCACAGACACTCAGTTGACAAATGATGAATGGCCAGAATGTCCTCAGCTAAAGAGCGACTCACCTGGCGAAGGACCAGGATTTATGCGGTAGACACTACAGAAAAGACACTCCGATATAACTGAATGTCCATCGGTAAGATAAGTGCTTTCATGTTAGATTCTTTGTGAACAGGACTGACTTTTAGCGGCCTCTGTTGGTGCCGATACTGTCTGCGCTTTTTGAGGCTCTTGAAATAATCCACGACGTTTTTCCTGATAACTCATAAGTGGTATCGTTTCAAAGGAAAGTGCTCTGATCACCGGTGTTTGCGCACTGCAGTGAGGTCAACGACTAACGTTGCCTCGATATTGAACATCTCATAGTCCATGGCTTGTATGACGTTGTCCTATGAACAACACTAACTCGTGTGTCAGTACTAGTGAAAGGAAGAAGGCCTTCGCTGCGGAGTTATTTATTAGAAAACGTCAAGTGACGTCCTGAACCACCTCATAGCCTCCTGGCAGTCAGCCGTTGTGTCGAACTCCGCTGCAAGGGCTTCCTTCGCGGCGGCCCAGTCCATCTTCCGAGGGCCCCTTCTGGCTGCATCCAGGGACGCCTTCGCCCAGCCCCTGAGGAAAGTCTTCAGCGCCGCCAACTTACCCCGGTCGGTATCCAGTCCAACAGCCTCCGCAATCTCCTTAAAGTCCTCCAGGAAGGTCCGAACATCCACATTCTCAAAGGGTTGTGGTCACGGGATCTTCGTCCTTATCCTGGTGACGGCACCAAATGAAAGGAAGAATGCCTTCGCTGCGGAGTTATTAGAAAAAAAGCTACAGACTATTGGACAGGGAAGCAAAACTCTCATATGCATTTTATTTACAAAAACTGAATATCCACCTTCTCCTTGAACACGTCTTCCTGAACTTTCCTGGATATTCGTTGACTGTTACTCAAATCCAAGCAAATGCGACTCCACAAATTCCGTAAAAGAACTCACTTTTCAAGCAAAATCATACACGAGCACTCGCCGTTAGTGAGCAGGAGGTGGGGTGACTTGCAGTTTAAACTATTCCCTCGCGACAATGATTAAGCGAGACAAAGTGTGTAATAGATTGCGCGTGAAATATTGAGAACTGCGCCTAATCAACAACCGGACACCATTAATTCAAACCTTTATTGGCTTAAACGAGGATGATCGTAAATAGAGGGAAGAAATTTCCGCAAACAAGAATGTTGATAATTCACAAACTTACGAGTCATTGTATCTGGTCTGCTCTAACAGACTCGGAGTAACTGCGAAAGCAATCGGAGTGTTAGGAATATCACGATTCACACGGTAGCACACTTGGGACAAGAGCCCGTAAGTATGAGCCAAACGATAGACAACGGCTAAAATCAGTTCGGGATAGAGGTTGAAACGTTGCATGGCGTTCAACTCGGTCTGACCACACTGCTCCAGTGCTACACGGAGTCACAAAAAAGAAGATTTAGTGTTTGGCCAGGGAAACGAGAACCGTTACCTTGGGATCCCTGAGAAGCATTCCAGCATCTGGGATGTTCAGTTCGCGTGTCCGCAAGGAGGGAATTCCATCCGACTTTCAAAGTTGGGGAAAGGATCAACTGATACGAAAAGCAAAACAAGATGAATGTGAGAAAATGGAGATAGTTTGAGTTACACGAAGTAATTATGGTACAGTTCATAAATCAGCTTGTGAAACGGGATGGACGGACTTGAAAACACAGTAGGATCACACTTGTAATGGCGGTGCTACTTTTAATAGACCCATTAAAATTTAGGTGGGTACGTTGTCACATTTCTACCGCACTAACAGAAAGGACCGACCGAAAGTAGACATGCGTTGGAGGGCCCTAAAAGCCTTTGATGGAAGGCTTCACTTGGTGAGGAGTGATCTCTTCCAAAGGAGCATGTCCATACGAAATGTGATGATCTCCAGGTTTGGGTAGAATGAATAATAGTAAACAACCGTTCATCAGTAACATCCTTTCTGTGCCTAGCTGCCATGCCACCTGAAGAAAGCGGTATGGGTTGATATACTGCCACGTAACCCGAGCCGAGACAGGAGAAGTTGAGACGCAGATGTCGGGTTCGTATCACGGACCATCCGGTCAGTAAAGTCGCTCTAACCACTGAGCGCACTACACCTGCTTACACACCGCAACTGATACTATACACCAGCCACTAAAAACAGTCAAACCAAAAATAGGGGATAGACCAACTAAACAGTGTGAACGAATAGAGACCAAACGAAGGAAATACTTTCTAATATATATAGTATTTCGGCTCACATGGTCCTTTACAGTACAGTAAAGATCTTGCGCAGGTACATGGCGCGCGAACTAATTATAAAATCTACATGACTTTTCATTTTGGTGCGAATTCGAGCAAGTTTCTTTCCTATCCACGCTAATAGCAGTGGCTGTACCCAAAGAATCCATTTGATAACCGTTTGTATTCATTTTCACTGTTGGTTCAACTGACCGATTTTCCAACCACTGCACTTAATTTCGCTGAATTTCGATTCATCCCATTTGACACCAACAGGCTCTTTTGGCCTGACTTTGAGCGGGCAGACCTTACTTGGAGAGCCTTATTCACTTTCTAAATAATCTACAACTTCGGTATGTTCCATTTAGGCTAAATGAACATAACTCCGCAATTAAACGTTTTTCGGACACTAGAAGTTCAACTACACTCCCTTGACATCGGAGTCCGGGAGAATGAAAACCGATGAAATATGGTAGTCCTAAAACTTTACCGAATCTTTTGTGACTTGTTTTTTGTTCTCCAGAATGGTTAAAATTACAGATGTTGACCGCATTCAATATTAACGTTAACTCGCTTGTCTTATCGAATCGAATCAAAGTCGCGTATCATCGAGGTTTACATGGAATTTACTATCACCACCTTCATTATTCTGATCCAGCTCCTCGTAAATGGGAGACAGGAGCTACAGCTCCAGAAACCGAACTCAAGGCGACATACTGTGCGATCTACTGTAACCGATCGGCTGTATTCAGTCTTCAACTTGATCACCCAGCCATTTGGTAGGGTTCCGGAACCAGGAAGATGTAGATCAAGTCAGAACGGACACGGCTAATGCCGTGTTAGGCCCGATTCTCAAGCTCCCCTCAAATAACGATGACTGTACCGATCTTTTCGGTGAAATCAATCTCTGAAGACAAGTACTCATTTTGGAAGCAATCAACAGAGCGGGTTCGTCAAAGCTGCTGAAAGATTCGAATCTGTAACCATACCATTCGGCAGCTCGTGGCTGATAGCAGTGTGATCAACGTGCACTTGGGATAAAGTATAACTCATCCTTTTAGCACGGACTTCCTCTCACAAGAGTTGGCTCGGGTGACACATTCGCCGACATTCGACATCTGGTTGCCAACCATATGACCACCGACAACAAGGTCAGGCAAACATTCAGTGTGGAGCGATCGCCACTATCACGGGCCATGACTACTTTGTTAGTATACTAAAGAAAATCAAGCCTCACGATAAGCAGTTTGAGGCAGATGAATGAATGTGAATGAAGGCGAGAATAAGAGTGACAAAAGAAGTAAATAAATGACCAATCTACGGATGAGCTCCATCAATAATTTGCTGAGAAACACAGGGTACCGCGTTCAATAGCAAGGATAGCCAAAGAGGAAATGGGTTCAACCACCAAATTTTCCAACAGGTTTACACTAAAATTGTTATCCTCCAAACAAAAAGAAAATTAAGAAGTTGAGTTCAGTCTGTATGCTTGATCTGATGTTGACCTATCCACCTGTTCGAGGTCCCTGTGCCGTTCCAGACCGTATACTGAAATGTCGAACAGACCATAGTGTGGTCTTGGATTGGAGATACATTGAACAGTCTGACAGGGCTCGATTGAATTGAACACTAGTTAATCACCAAAAATTAGTCTCTTCGGATGGTGGTACTGTCAGAGCGCAAAATCGTTCAAGTGTTGCACCCTTCCATTAAACAGCTGCCTTAAACAAGCGCTAGGGGCAAATATCTGCCATGCTGAACGAACCTGACCATGGGTGACAGATAAATTAGGGGAGATACAAGTGACCTGCGCTTTGACATAGCAATTCTCTGGAGCTCAATTTGACCTCAACTGGCACAAAAAATAAACAACAGTACCTGCTTGAAATAAGAATAGTAAAATCCACTTTCAGTTCTGAAAGTCATCTCGCGTTCACGGCTGGACAGGTGTGAAAAGAACAAGCTGTTTTCGTGTAGCGAGTTGACATGCACATAGTGTAGGAAGCCAGCAACAAGGGCTATCAAAGCCACAGTTGCTGTCCGAAGCCTCCAGCGAGTTCGAAATCGATCGGAAACCACAATGACTTCTTTCGAATCAACGCGCCGACCCATTGAAATACAACCAACACAGCTTATGCTGAAATAAATAGAAAAACAAAAACTTTACATAGTGTATTGGGTTCTAAAACTGAGCATCGGTCAATGAACTCGAATCGAGGGAGCATGCTATCAGTGATATCCTGGGTTTACAGCCCAGATTCACTCTATACCATCGCAAAAAAATTGTACAAAGTGACGTGGTTCGTGCTTCTCAAACGATCAAACATCGCCGAATAAACACCTAAGTAGAAGCAAAGGCTCAAGTAATCAGAACTGTGAGAAAAGTTGAAGAAAATCTAGGCGCCACATGCAGTTATGGAAACACGCCTCATAAATGATGGGACCATGTAACTTTTTCACATATTGGTATGCTTGCCATGATACACAAAGTCCCAGAATGACAGCACTTGGTAAAGAGTTAGGCAAACTACGATCCACGAAGCACATAATCCCCGTGATTCACTCTGAAACCTCGTATGAAATCTCGACCGTCAATGCGATTTGGACGACCTAGAACGGACTGAAAACTAGGGACGATACCAAAACAGGGAACTTCACAGAAAAGCTAGTGTAGTCTTAGCTTGACTAATTTCACATCCCTACATTTGAACGGAGTTCAGAAGAGCCGGATACTTTGTTGTCTGATGTCATCACTAGGATCCTGATTTCCTTGATTAGGCCCTCAGTTTTTCTACGGTTTTATGACAATGAAACAAAAAATGTGTACAACGGCAAACCCAATGTGTTGCCGTCAAAAGGTTAGCTGCAGTTATACTGCGCACTGCTAAAAAAATTGTAAAAAAAAGAGTTTTACCTGGGTTCCAGGTGAGTCTCATATGCGAATGAATACATTTCGCCGGAAACATTTTGCCGGAAACTCGGGGAGTGCGCCTACCTGATTAGGCTCAAGGAGGGCGGAACCGGTCGTGGGCAGTCGAAGGATTTTCAGCAACCTTATGAGTAGTGTATTACGTCTATAGATGTCGATATTTCACAAGACGTCCGCTCAAATGTCTACTCCGCATGAGTTCCAACTTATCTTGTTCTTCATCAAACACCCGATGGTTGGGAGGCTTGGAAGGCAATGTTTACTGACTACAATTCCACTCTACCAGTTTTCAACACTTGAGTCAAATTTATTCAACAACACAGCTCGGAACAATTACGACTTCATCTACAGGAAAGCGGGGAAACCAAAGAATGCCTGAAACCATGAACCTCTGCGAAAAGTAAACCATAAAGGAAGCGTTGCCGGTATTGCACAAACAATGGGAGATGCGATTGAATACTTATAAAGCCAGATACAAGTTGTCAGCTGGGTCGAACTCCTGAAGAAATCTTGGAAGGCTTCATTTTACCGATTCCTTGTTCCGTCCATCTAGCCATGTGAATATAAAGCCAGTGCACAAACGAAAGTCGAATTAACTGCTTCTGTCTAGTGCCACAGATAACAAGGTCAGGGACCCCCTATTGACGCCATCCGATAGCGAATTGACTTGGGATCGTGCTTGTGAACTTGCGTGCGCAGAAATATGTATCCAAGGACAAAAGAAACTGTGCCGCAGAGGAAGTATTAAGCCTGAGGTTGTCACATGATCTGAACGCAACTAACAGGGCAACGACAGTTGTTACCCTCTTTGCAGCAGCAGAATCACAAAGGATATCCTGCAATCAACTCCAAATTTAAAAAGAGCGGTAATTTCAGCAACCTTGCCAAGATGTGTCATACTCCGCCGCTCGGTATTCGCAGAATTCAATCGACCTCTCGAAAATTGCAAGGTTTTCAAGTTTACCACTTCACAACCAAGAAGATCCATATCTGATGAATTTTTCTACTAATTCTCTGTATTGATGATTTGTTTAAGTGAACGAATCTCCAAGGTCATCAGTCACAATTCGGGAAACAGTCCCTAATAAGATTTATGAATTGTTGTAAAACGCGAATCGCTGACCATGGACGAAAGTTACAGGTTGTTATGTAGCTGAAATAGTCCACCAGGCTTCCTAGAGCCCGTGCTCATGGACGCAAAATATGAGTAGACAGTTCTGTGATTAAATTTCACTTTGCATCTCCTGTTCGACTAGACGAACGCCGAATCTTGTGTTCTGTGACCTCGAGAATCGTTATTGCAGTGGATGTATTCTTTATATTCCGAGGTTTAGAGAACGTATGGCTTGCAGATGATGATGACCTATACCCGTAGGTCAAGTTTAATGGTAAACTGCAGCAGAGTTCTCCATTAAAAATGGCGAGCCATATCAGGTTTCTCATAACCGGCTCCAGGGAGTGGCCGGATAGTTTGCGGCTGGTGGTGCATATGGTGAGTAGCCCATCACAGCGTCTAACACTGAGTCTCAACTTAAGTGGAGGCTTTCGGTGGATGCATATTATATCAATGAAAACTTAGCTGACGCATATGACTAACATACGGCTAGGGGTTCACGATGCCTAATCAACTAGCTAGATGTAATCTACGTCGATCATAGCGGACAGGTGAATGAACCGAGTTGACACATACTAACATGAGGCTAGGGGTCCACTAAGCATAATCAACCGAAGGCATATCAGCTGTCACCATAAAACACAACTATCCGTCACTTGGAAAAGTCTATTAGTCGTAGCACCCCTTTGTTGCCTAACTGCCATGCCACCCGAAGGAAGCACGAGGGCTGAGATACTGCCAGGTTGCCCAAACCTAGACAGGAGAAATCGAGAAGCAGAGGCCGGGTTTGAACCACGGACTTTCCGGTCAGTGAATTCACGCTCAAACGACTGAGCCATCTCGCTCCCTTACTTACCGCCGACAGTTCCGGCGGTAGTTGTATATGACCTGAGTGGTAAGTACTTTGAAGAGTTCGTCGGCTACAAACAGCCGCACTTCACACGACGGTGTTCAATACTTCAGCGAGACCCTATAGATGCCTAACTCCTCTTCGTTTAGCCATCGATGCACCGAAAGCCGATCGTACAAAGATCTGATCACTCTATGCTTACGTCTAAGATGGTGAGAGTTGACCGAGAAATGGTTCCCTCTGCCTACTTAGAAAAAAACGTACCAGAGAGACGGTGCTTTGTGTACTGTTTGTCATTAGCAAATATGCCCCGCTTACTAACTTCTTCAGAATCCTCAACTTTCCCTTGGTTTTTCCTGGCTACTTACCACATTTGGAGTACAGCCATTCGTAACGTAAAACATCGTTGGTGTCTCGATTACTCGCTGCACTTACAAATACCACATATTTATCCTTTATGCATTCATTTAACGCCTCATCGAATGTCGTGAAGGATGAAAACCGGACAGCCCCGATTTCTCAGAAAACATATCTGAAAACATCTGAAGGGAGGCTAAAACAAATCGCGACAAAATTAGGATAGATTTGGCTGATTTTGAGTTCGGACATACATATAACAGAACGCAACATTTTTACTTGAAAATCTTATTCGACCCACAAAGGTTTTGAAGAAAAAAGCATCCGTCGGCCAAGGATCAGCTCAGCATCGCGCGCTGTATCCGCAGAAGATACTAACAAGTCAGCGTATTCTGCTATTTTCGGATTGGCCTGAGGCAGCTCAGTGGTTAGGCCCCGAACTTACTGATCGGCAGGTCCACGGTTCCAACCCAACTTCGGCATTTCGAGTGCTTGTCTGGGCTTGGGCAATGTTCGAACGAAAACACGAATGTGCGAGTACAATTGGTGGCCGAAAATAAATTTCACTGCGGAAACTGCTGTTACACGCGTCAACCTCTTCCTGCACCAATCTAATTCAGTAATAATCAAATGTGACCGCCATGGTCAACAATCGCGATCCATATCATGGGTCCATGTACAAGGGTGCCACCATAAAGGATATGCTGATGCAACGTGGTTCTACAGTAAGTAGTATGACACTTCTCTGTGGTAAGAGCACTACAACAGCAGCGATTAAATGGCCTTGCCATCTGTTTACAAGGCAGAAAAGATGGTTGCTGATAAGGTTCTCAATTTCGAAGTAGTAAATCCCTTCACTTCTTACACTTTATCATTCTAACACAGTTCATACAATCGAGCTGCTAATAGTGTGGTTGAAAGACCTTGAAAGAGTTCATACAAACAACCCAAATTTCACTCGAGATGCGGAATTGATTGATTTCGGGTCCGACAACTTAACACCCGCCGGAATCAATGCTTAAAAGTTGAATTCGAACGCGGAGCGGTGCGACCTTCATACCCAAGATTCCCAAAGCACGGAAAAGAAAACATCTCGGACAATTTGTAACAAGTAAACTGCGCTCCCACCTGGAACGCAATCCTGGGGTTAGGCGACCTACTCAGATCCATCAATCTCTTCGGCAATAATGATTCCAAACTCGCTACACTTACTGCACATTGTCATTATCTCGACTATATATATATATATATA